AAAATAAAATATTTTTGGGTTTTTTTTTAAAAAAAAAAAACGAAATAGGGAATGTCATGTTAGACGTGATCACGTCTAAGGCGTCGTTCGAATCTGCCCTGGACAATAAAACAAGCGTTAAAAAAAAAAAAATTCAAACACTTACTTTCTTAGGCATAATCACACCTAAAAAAAAATAACACTTGCAAAAATTAATCCAGCAAACCTAAAATGCACCTATCCATGATCATGCTTACTAAACACTATTTTTCTTAAAACATTAAGCACACATTAAAATTCAACTCCAAATCACAAAACTAACTAATGAATCAAACACAACATAAACTTAAACATTTTGGGTTGCCTCCCAAACAGCGCCTTTCTTTATTGTCTTTGGCTAGACCAATTAAACGCGCCTCAAGGTGGAAATTTTGAAACTCCACCTAACAATGGAATATGATAAAACCCTGAGCAAATTTCAATAAAATCAAAGTTAGATGGACTGGATTCATATTCAAATGCAGATATAGAATCAGCAAAATGAGGTGGAAAATAATCCCCCCCTTTCTTTAAACACTCCACATCTATCTAGTCTTCCTAAAATTACATCTATCTTTAGTCCTATTTCAGGAGGTCGAGGAAGATGTCCATATGTACAATCTAGAGATATCGGTGGCAGTTTTGACTCTAGTATTGGAGATTTCCATTCATCAATTATATCAGCAATAGAACATGGTAGAGTAAGTATACCTGGATCATTGCATTTGGAAGAAAATTTTGATTGTAACATACCAGATATATCTTCTCCAACTACTACCTCATTCTTAGAAAAGTTCTCCATCACTTTCTGTTTGGGCTCCTCTATCTTTGGCTCTACTGACATATCTGAAAAAGAAGTATCAGCTGCATTAGTTTGACTAAATAAAATGGAAAGATCAATTATCTCATTGTCGTCCAATGCCTCTGATTCATTTTTCTCTACTTCCATATGTTTCAAATCTTCTGCATTTTGAATAGGTACAGTCTCCACACCATAAATCTGTTCTATGAAAGGATATTTCATTTTCTCTAACTCAGCCCTTGAGAATCTGCTCGGAAATGGAGGAAGTATCATGTAACGTGAATCTTCTCTAACAACTTCCTTCGCTACCTTCTTCTCAAATACATCATCTTTGGGAGTCACTTCTTTCATGGCACACACACTTTCAACAGGATTAACTACCGATGGAGATGGTAATTCCACAGGCTTTGAGACTTCGAACTTGGTAATAGCATTAGCTAACTGGCTAATTCGACTCCCCAAATCTTGTATGCTTGCTCTTGTTTCCTGTTCAAATTCAAGGGTATTAGTTGCCAAAGCGTTAACAATCTCATCTAAAGACAAACCTGAGCTTTGAGAGTGTGGAGGTTCCGAAACATGATACACTTGTGGCTGAGATGGCTGATACTCATAGTTGAAATTCTGATAATCCTGCCAGCCTGGATCATATGAATATGAACGATGTTCGTATCTTTCTTGTGGCGATCTCCAAGATTCTCTCATGGCATTCTGACCCTCCCACCGGTAGTATGGTAATTTTGGACAAAAATCGCTAGTATGACTAGTCATTAAACAAATACCGCATCTTTGGACTTGTTTCTGTTGACCTATAGCCATATTTTTCATAAGAGACGTTAGTTCAAATAATATTTGCTCAAGATACGATGAACTTATCTCATTTTTATTCCAATGGTCATCTCGTCGATTCCAAGATTGATGTGCATATGAGTCCATTGCAAAAGAAAAAAAAAACTAAAATAAAACAAAACAAAAATTTAAAGGAAACAAATCAATTAACACTGTTCCCCGGCAACGGCGCCAATTTGATGGAGTGTCAAGCCACACAAATAAAATAACCTACTTCAAACTACTGTAATATAGGGAAGTAAGGTCGTCTCCTCAGGGAACGATGGATTGTTTCCTTCAAATTAATGCAAAGGAGATTTTTGGATTGTTTTTCTAAACTAAGATAATGAAATACAAATAACGAAAACTAAATAAAAGAAAAGAAATCAAAGTAACAGACTTCTGACTCAAGGAACGGATAACTCAATTATTTCATTAATCATAGGCTACTAAAACTACTCTTGCAATTTAAGCATTCAACCAAAGATCTATTAGGATAGCCGTAATAAATCAATTAATCTCCCTAAATTAACTAACCAAGCCTAGCACTCAATTAATCCTTATCATAATTCGGCTGGGCACGATAGTGTTTCATACCAAACAATGATAGCATAAAAACCAAGGAAATATAGTTGAACCAAAATCTAAACAATTGAGATAGCTACAACTATTCAGACTTTGACTCATTGATTCCACATTTAAACTAACATGCATATTCAATGTCTCACCAATACACATTCTTTGTCTAATTGCTACTCAGTACTGCCAGTTCTTGTCTATTACGTAACATTCAACTAGCAGATAGCACGAGAAAATAAATAACAAATCAAGTTTTCAATTTGAATGATATCTACTTTCATAAATAAAGACAAGAATCAACAAATACTTAAATCATAGGCAAGAACAATAATTAAGAACAAAACCTCATAATGGAATAACTGAATAAATCCCTTGAATCAGAAAAGAAAACTTAGCCACTCATAGTTGGAAGTATGACGGTTCGATTCTCCATGGAAAACAATGAAAATTCGGGAAAAACAAGAGGTGGGAGGTGCTAGCCTATGGCTACACACACGGCTGCCCACAAAACATCACTCAAATTCTTTTTATAATAGAAATTTAGGTCAGCCGCAGGAAAACAGCAATTATTCCACGATTTGCATCTTTGGTCCCTCAAGTTTGCAGTATTTTTACTTTTGTCCCAAAACTTCTTCAATTTTGTATTTCAGTCCTTGGACGTCCAAATTAATCCAAATCAGCTCCAATCTCTTATTTCCAGCTCCTAACATGAAATAATAACAAAACTAATGAATTAAATCCATCCGAGTCCATAAACTAAAAAAATATCAACAATTAAAACACAATTTATGGACTCTATCAATTATAGGCTGGAGATCGTGTTTATAGGTATAAATATTATATTCATTTTCATTATCGGTTCATGATTGTCAGTAAACAGCTTATTACCAGATTAGATTTAAAAGGGACCACTGGAAATGGATGCTTATTAAAGGATGGAAAAAGATCACTACTTTGGTTTTGCCTGAAACGAATTTTCCCTCTTTTTGAAGTAATATTGCATGAAACTTGTGTGGATTTTAGTGAAGGAAGTTTTGGTCGTTGTTTGCTTTCTTTGGTGATTTTAGTGAAGGAAATTATTAATTGGCTAGATCTAAGTGATACTATGCATGATTTTTCTGTTCCTTTTTTTTTTTTTTTTTGGACAACTCTTAAGGCCTCTGAGTGCTTTCTTCCTATCAAATCCTCAATAGAATTTTACCACTTTTTCCAGATTTGATATTTCTTGTGCGTAGTTGAACAACATTTTTTATGATTCACCTATGCAGGTTCAAGTAAGTTCAACTGAATTGTTTCCACAAAGATCTGGGGAGCCAGATTGTCAGGTTCAAGTAAGTTCAACTGTATGTTTGTTAATTAGTATTTTTCTCCTTTCCATTCCTGTGGTTGCTTTTGTAGAAATCTGTTTAAGTGCTTATTGCACCTCTAATCTCTTGCGTCTTGTTTCATGTCACAATGCTGTTAAAGTGGCGTTTGCATGAGGATGTGTTCCCCTTACCTTGAATTGCAAAAATGCTACTTAAATTTATGTTTTTTGAACTTCCATGTTCCAACACTCCACCCATTTTAACTGCTGCTGCATATTAAGTACTATAGGGCTAGTAATTTTTTTATTTCTATAGAGAGGTAGTCTTCTTTCTTTTCAGTTACAGCTGGTTAAATATTCCTATGTAGTTATGGATGTTTTCCATGCTTTCTGTGCAGTAGGGAAATCAGGACTGACCCTTCTTCTGAAACACTAATTAAGAAGGGAACAATTTCACGACCATCCCTCCCTTTCAAGAATTACACAAGTCAACTCAAGAATTGTGCAATTCTTTCTCCGGTTTTATGTATAAACTATGAAATATCTAAACTACAATAACAGCAGTTGGTACGGAGATCTTTTCTTGGCATCAACATCTGGGCGTTGACACCTCCAATCCAAGAAGCTTGCATTTAAGTCAACAAACTGGCAATTATAAAAATAGGATTCTTATCTTGTAGAAATAAAAGAATATCTGTTTTTCTATGGATGATTTCAGTGTCCTAATCTTTGACTGATTCCAAAAAATAGGAAATAAAATTGATGGGAAGCTTCCTGCACATGTGGTGAGCTTGTTGTAACATGACAGATTGGATCCTTGAAGCCACCATGTTGTAAGGTGACTTTTCTTTCCCTCATCCTCAATTATATTATATATAAAACTTGAAGAGAACCAGAAGTGATTAGATTGAGTGAAAATGTATGTTGCAAGGCCTCGTTCTGAATACATCAAGAATCCAGATGCTCTTTCACTTCTCCCTGATGGTCCAAATTCAGGATATTTGGTAATCCAGATGCTCTTTCACTTGTGACTACCATCTATTACTCCCTTAGCTTTCTGTGCTTGATATCCTCAGTAAAGCAGCTCAATTAGGCAAACTTCCTTCTTCCTGTCCCTTCCAATGCATTTCCTGGTTGGTGCAATATTCGATGAATGGTGGAAATATACGTTCAGCACTTAAGTGAACTAGATGTATCTATTTATACTGAGATTGTGGAGAGTTGTACACAGATCGACGTAAATAATAAGCTTGCAGAATCCTTTTCATCTGTGAATCACAGATTTTTTGCTTTTGGTTTTTCAGATGAAGTTTGAAGCTCTTTCAGATTACAAGATAAAAGTGAACTAAACTTCTAAAACTGCTGTACTCATGGCTTATTTCCGCAATGTCAAGATTGTGGTTATTGAATACCTTGTCTTATACTATGTATCATACGCCTAGCAAGAATATTAGTTTAAATGAAAGCTACATGAATCTTATTGCTGACTACCAGTGGAGGTGGAGGTGTTCGACCAGTGGAGGTGTTCGACCCCTTGTCAAGCTGCTAACCTATCCTGATTCAAAGATTAGGGAGCATGCTGTGACAACAATATTGAACTTGTCTATTGATGAATCAAACAAGAAGCTGATCTCCAAAGAAGAACCAATCCCAACTATCATAGACACTGTAGAAAATAGAACTGTTGGTGGAAAGGAGAACTCAGCAGCAGCATTGTTCAGCTTATCAATGCTGAATGACAACAAAGTGAAGATAGGGGAGTTGAATGGCATCCCACCATTGATACTACTACTAAAAGGCGGGACGATTTGTGGGGAAAAAGATGCAATCACTGCATTGTTCATTCTCTACCTGAACCACACTAACAAGTCAATAGCAATTGAAGCTCCACCATTGATCAACCTACTTGAGGACAAAAATTTGGACATGGTTGATGAAATATTGTCCATCATTTTGCTTCTTGCATTGAGCCAGGGTGGGAGGCAACAACTTGGGCAGCTTTCATTCAGTGAAACACTTGTGAATTTGATTAAACATTGGACATCAAAAAACAAAGAATGTTCAACTGCTGTCCTACTGGAGCTTTGTTCCAAGAATTCAAACCTCATTTTAGCGGCACTTCAGTATAGTGTGTATAAACCTCTGGCAGACATAAGTTATTATGCATTTGATAAGTTAGAATAGTTTTAATATTATGCTTTAATTTAGTCAGAATGGTTTTAAAATTATGCTCTAATTTTAATTTATGTTGTAAGATAAAGTATGGAAAAGAAATTTTTGGAACAAGACAATTGCGAATAATAAAACAAAAATTTAGGAAAGAAAAGTGAAAAAATAAAAATAAAAATGACAATTTGTGTAAGAATGATTTTCTTTATAAGTTAAAAAATTTGTTTAAAAAAAATTATTTTGAAGAAAAAGTAATTTTGAAAAAGACCTAGTCTAAATGACTTTTTAATATTTTTAATTACTAAAAGGGTTTTGAAAAATTCTTGTCCAAATGCATTATTTTTCAAAAAGTACTTTTTTAAGTTTTGGTTCAAACAGACTTTTCTAAACAAATTTTTAAAACACTTGTTCAAATGGAGCCTTAACCAAAGAAGAGGAAAATGAAATTGGATGTCGAAAACTTGAAAAAAAGTAGTAAATTAGATACTCAAGGGAATTAATTATAAGATAAAAAAAAATCTTAACAAAAAATTGCAAATGAATCAAAGATAATACTACCCACCTGAAAAATTGTACAGATTGATTAACTATAAGTCTGTAATTATCATGACATTCATCAACGCCGGCTAAGCATGCTCAATTAACAAAAAGAGAAGATATCAAGTTATGTACGGACTAAAGCAATTTTTGTTGCCCATTGTCATACATCACATCACTTTATAGCAAACTTCTTAGTTCTTCTAATTGTTGATTCATTCAAATGATAAAACCATTCTCCGATGCACTAAACCGTTGGAATTGCATTCGTTTTAACGAAAGTTTAAACGAATTAAAGAGTTATATATAAGTTTACACGTTTAAGAGATTAAGCAACATGATAAAAAGACATGATAACTATTAGTTCATTCTTTTGTGTGGTCTTTTTCTTAATTTTTTTCGGGATACATATTTTGTGTAATATTCTTTTAGAAATAATATTGACTTATTCGTAAGGTTTCTACTAATCTTGGTCATGACTGGGTATGGGTGGAACGATTTGTCACATTCCTTATATAACCGACAAGTTTCAGCGTTTTTATTTTCCAAACAATATTAAAGAAATTTACGTAGTTTTATTTCTTTTATCCAAAAACATATTAGGCTAAGTGTTACTTTATAAATGCACCAATCACTACATTTTCGCAACCTGTGACGTCTCTTTTTTTTTTCGGGGTAACATCTCTCTTTCTTTGCATCTTACTCGTCAGTCTGATCTCGGCAGCTCCTAAAGTCAATCGATGGATTTTCTTTCTTCTTTGCATCTTCCCACGGTTTGCCTTTGTTAAACTGTTTTTTTTTACAACTTATATAACTGGTTTCTTCTAAGATTACATAACTCTTCAACCTGTAGATGGTTGTCCCGCTAGATGTTACTATTTGTTAAAGACATTTTCTCATAGTCAAATCAGGGAAATGGTGAATGAGTAGAATAAAAGCCAAACCATCTCAAACTGAAGATATTTTTGTACTCGGTCGTCAGCACTTAGATGATGATATATTAGTCCCAAAACAACAGGAAGCAGTGATTATTTTTAGTAACTTAGAAAAATATAATTGATTTCAATAATCTTTTTGGCAACAAATACCATCAGTACACTGTAAGACAAGATCCTGGAGAATAATTATGCTTGCAAAATTTGAAACTGAATAAATAAAGATGTAAGCAGGTGTTACCAACCAGGTGGCCCTTTTTTTGGTTCAACATTAATGAAAAGACCAACCCCCTTTGCAAATTTCCATCAGTTCCTATTCTAAAGCTTTGATATTCCTGCACACAACAACCATTCATTACTAACGTTATCCTGCGAAAGCATGTCTATTGTTTGGCATATACTGAACCAGACAACATCTAAGCAACGTGAACCAAGAGGGTATCTACCTTTAATTTCAAAACATTGTTCATCCTTCAGGCTGTCAACAAAGCAGAGGTAAATGGAAAGGTAAACAGTATATCATGACTCTGGAGGATGACAATGGTTCAAAATATAACAATCCGAGAAGTTACACTACAAAACACTACTGGATTTCACTTATTATATATTAAATAGACCCGGCCCATAGATGAAGAATGATGTTGCCTGAACACCTTTTCACATTCGACAGCTGCATATAATCTCATATTCACTTACTTAAAAGCCAAAAATAAAGAGGCAGTTTCAAAAGCTAACCTTGAATGAGGAGAACATGCAAAAGAGTTATTCAGGGGGAGTTGTACCTCTATTCCTGCACCATTCAGAACCAAAAAAAAAAACAAAAAAAACCAATAGAAATACCTGGAGGTGAATAGAGGTGATCAAGCTGATGATAAATCACTTATCAAATAAGAAACTGAGGTGGAATACATGATTCTAGTTAGGCGGCAAGCAAAGTGAGGCTGTAGCGGTGGCGACTCGAGTGTAAAACCAAAATGAGACGGCATCTGTGGTGTGACTCGATGGCAAAAACAAAGCGAGAAGAGAAGATGACTGCTTTAGGGAACGATAAATGTGATTGGAATTTGAGCCAAACAATGAGATTTGAGGAGAGAGATAAGGGCAGGATTCAAATTTGAGGCACTGACTTAAGGAAATTATTATCTTCAATCATGCAATTAGTTTGATGAGGCTTATCAAATCATTCAATAAAGAGATACGTGAAAGATAAGATCCATTTCAAAATGATTTTGTTGAACTAATACCTGATCTGATGAATGAATGTATATCCATAATATGCGCCAAAACCGGTCCCCTCTTGAATGGTTCTATGTAATTAAACAATAAAAACGTAAAAGACAGATACTTTAATGGGTTGTTATCTCTTTGGTCTCCGCAGACCGAATATTTTGATAGTTCCATGTTTAAAAATTCTTTGGGCAGCAGTAGTAACAATGAAGACCCGCCAGCGGAGATATGCATCCAGGGCAAATCGCCGGGGAGGGAACATGAATTCAGGCAGGATTTATTCCGCCCAGACAAATGAGGGGATCATTACGTCGGCTCAAATTTGTGGAGACCATCATCGGAGAGTTAGCCGAAGGGGGGAAACTCAATCACGGGTTTTAATGTCAGTCAAAACCAGAATAATTCAATCGCGGTAGAATTATTTCCGCTAATTTTTCTTCTCCGGGCAAATAACCTTAAACCACCCCCACAATTCACTTCGGTCAGCCGTCATCTTCATCATCATCCCATGCCGTGTATAACTCTCGGTCATTTTGGAGATTAGGGTTTCAATTATGATCATTTGAAGATTTTACACTACAATCACGGTAGATGAATATATCATGACTGGCGACTGGCGGATGAGTTAAATTTCGACTAATCGATGAAAAGTTAAAACCCATGATATGTTAAAATAATTTAATCATAATTGTTTTACTGTGCAAAATTACACTTATGAGGTGTAGTTAAAGATTTAGTAAAAAGTAATAAACCAATAAAATGTTGACACATAGACTGCATAAGTTTCTCTAGGAATGAGAAGGCGACACGTGTTTTTGAAAATTATCAATGATCTAATTGTCTGACATGTGTCTTGTGAGAAAAATTCTCTTAATATATAGTAAGATTATACAATCATTTGTTCATTATATGCGAATTGATTATTATTCACAACCAGTTTTTTCAAATTGAATTCATCATAAATATAAGGATATAACCATAAATCATGATCAGTGTCATTCATTAATTCATTAATAACTGAAACAAAGTTCATTAAGAAAACACAACTACACCAACAGTGTTTTGATATATTTGACTACCTTGGGTATTAACCTGATCAAAACCACTAAAAACTAACGGGTGCGCATAGCGACCAATCGAATCAGGGTTAGCAGAGTTAGCCATTTTGTATATAGTCTTCCTCGTCCTCAAAGCTGCACCATTCTTGTCTTTTGCTCTTGCTTATCTTGATCTCTTTTCAGTTTCACTCTTCCACCTTACGTTCTGCTCCCTCAATGGGCTCAACATCTCAGGATTTTAATATTTACAGCTGAACTTGAAGGAGCATGAGAACTATCGTTTCCAACCATAGCCTCTTCACTTTCTTCGGGCCAAGATCCAACCTCCTTATGAATATTATCGGACAATGTTTTCATCGTATCTGAAATGATCTTTTTGGCACTGTCACATGATTCACTTGCTGATAAAAGGCTGATAAAATTTTTAACCACGTCGGTTCTCCATAAGAACGAACCACTGATATCAAATTTAGATCCAAATGCACTCCCCAATGAATCCCCAATGCACTGCAGATTCGCATTCCTTCGGAATCTTGGCATAATATAACATTCTGGAACTTGATCGACGTTACGAAACATGTAAACTCTGAGACAATGTGCACACAAGAAACCCGAATCTGAAAACATGTTGCATGTGCATTTAATCTCATGCAAACGAGCATTAAAAATAATTTGATGAACCATCACATCGACAAGCATCCTCGATATCAGGGCCACCGTTAAAAAGACTCAACAATCCAATGATTACACTGAACATGTTAGGGTTGAGAATTTGGACCCGTATAATGAACAAGTCGGGTTAGGGTCAATCTGTTTATTATACAGTTGGGTTCGAGGTCAACCCGCCGGGTTACCCGGGTCACCCGTATAAATGTAAATTATATATTTTGTAGGGACATGTTGGGAATTTTGCACTAACCAGCTACCCTAATTTCATTCTCATTTTCATATATATACTCTTTATCATGAAGGCGGCACACAATTACAATTATACTCCTTTAGGCAGCTCCAGTCAATCACTTCGTCGCTTCTTTCCGGTCCCCTCCGACCCAAATTCCCAAAAAATTAGAAATTTCTGACCATTATTCCCAAATCGTTTTTTCCTCCTCAACCATTATCATTTTCGCGGCAGCTTCCGACTGAAAGGGAATATTAGTGTATGCATCCCAGCGATTATACCCTACTAGCGAATTCATCCCAACGTTTTAGAATTGATTAATTACGTCCCAAAGTTATCAAAATTGAGAGACCCATCCCATGACCTACAAACCAACAAAAGTGACAAGGTATAACAGTTAAAATCATTTGGATCCCATATTTAACATTTTTACTTCTGTTTTTTTGAAGTTTTTTTAAATTTTTTTAGTTTCTTGAAACAAAAACAACATTTATAAATGGAGAAACTAAAAATTTAATTTATTTGTAATAAATCTAATTTATTTATAATCAGATTCATCTTAATCTTTTTGATAAAACTTAAAGAAACTTTCCAAAACAATTTCTTTATTTTGAGTGAAAAATAGAATGATTATCTTTCACACACACATACGCACACAAAAATTAATTAATTTTGAGTTTATCCAAAATTATAAATTATTTGATTTGTGATGCTTAAATTATTTTGATTAGTTAAATAAGTTTTTTTGATTTTTTAATGTAGAAATTTTGTTTGTTTTTTAATGAACTAAAAAATGACAAAAAAAATTTAAAAAAATGAGAAAAAATGAATAAAAATGAGATCCAATAGATTGTTACCTGTTATAGCAAGTCATTTTTGTTGTTTTGTAGGTCATGGATGGATCTGCTGAATTTTAATGATCTTGGGACGTAATTGATCAATTTTAAAATGTCGGGATGAATTAACACACTGGTGTAAACTTTTGGATGTATCCACTCATTCACCCCCGACTGAAATTCCCATCACATCTAATCATCATATTCTCGGCGGGTCTCTCTCGTCTTCTTCAGATTCGCTAGATCCTTCAACCAAATTTTCATCTCGTTCTTTTCTATTTCTCTGGATTTTTTCCCGAACATCTAGCGGATTTTTTTGAGTGTGAAATCATAGGGTTGTCTCTATTTGTCTCAATTTGTCCTGAAATTAGATCAATGAATATTTTTTGGTTGTCTCTGTTTTTGAGAAAAACCAGAAATGTGATCCATCAATTAAGAAGTTGAGTTTTTTATTGTTCTTGAGGTTAAGGGCAAAGACCGATGCTGATGAAGTGCCACACAAGAATCTCAAGATGGTGGAGAATCTCCTGTAATTTCAGTGTTGGTTTTTTGGATATGGTAATTTGGATCGAGATTGTAGTAGTTGTAAATTGTAATTTGTAATATGGTAATTTGGATTTTAAGCTGTAATTTATCATTTGGTAACTCGGATTTTGAGGTTGTAATTTGTGATGGTAACTGAGATTTTCAGACTTCATACGGTTAGTCAAAAAGTTTCAGAATTTTCTTTTGAGAATTTCGGGTTAATAAGTCGGGTCACGAATGACCTGAATATTTTCAGGTCGGGTTAGGGTTGTGTAAGTCAACCTGTTTATTTATACAAGTCGGGTTCGGGTTGGCTATATTTTATGCGGGTTCGGGTTCAACCCGACACGTTAACGCGAACCCGACACGAATTGCCAGCCCTATGTATAATTCTCTTGCATGACGACATATATTAACATTCGGAAAATGCATATTAATGCGGCCATTGTTGCAACGGTGGTCTTCATCATTCTCCTTTTGCCTCCAACCATCAATTACTTTTTTAAACCTTTCATAAAAAGTGCATAACCGAGAAGCAGTAGTAAGGGATTCTGAAATTGATCTGTTCGTTGACTCACTCCTTTGAGATTACAATACACCACCTGGAAAAAATGACTTGCTATATGCAGGACACCACTTCTCTCTGGAGTCACATATATCTTTCAACCATTTATCATTGTAACAATTGTAAGTATCACACATCCTGGTTGTTTAAAAAATACAAAAGCACAAATTGTGAATATTAATTCATCCAAACAGTCTGCGAAACTCATCAATTCCAGAAGATTATGCATCATATTATCTGTACTACATAATAAGACAAATTATTCATCTATATGGGTTGTCACATTCATCAGATAGGTATAAAAATTCAGTATTAAGAGAATAGTTCATAAAGTAACATTGAAGAAACAAAACTTACACAAGCCAATAATGGTCAAACTCAGCAATTGTATTAGTGTGCCTCAGCACCATTTGGAATAAATCCATAAAACTAGCTTTGTTCCTAAGGTAGCCAATGTGCTTCTTTGAATTTTTGTCGATATGCCATGTGCAAAGACGATGTCGTGCCTTCTTGAAAATCAAAGGGATTGCAGCACCCATGACATCACACTGATCAATCATGATGGTTGTGGGTTCTTTGTCACCCATAGACTTCAAGAATTCATCAAAAAGCCATTTAAATGACGGGGTATCCTCATGCAACAAAAAACCTACACCAAACATGAGGTTTTATGTATGGTGATTCATTCCCGTAAATGGTGCATATACAAGTTTGTATAAAGTTGTCCTGTGAGTGGTGTCATGAACAATCAAATCACCAAAGACATCATAATCTCTTTTCATACGTGAATCCCTCCAAAAAATACAACAAAGCCTACATTCTTTATCATGGAGATGGCGGTAATAAAAACCTTCTTCTGTCTCTTGCCTTTCCTTCAACATACCCAACAGCTTGTTCGCATTCCGCCTTCCCATTTAGCACGTTCATGAGCTGCAACCTGATTTCTAGCATCTGTTATGATGTAGCCTAGGTTAGGAACACCATGTGCTTGATCCCTAAGAACTCCAAAACCATTAGTAAGCCCAAAATACCACTATCCTTAAACTTGGACAAAAGCAGAACATCAACTGTTGAAACATTTATTTTAAAACAATAACATTTGATCAAATTGATGACAGTACCTCCTGTAGATTCAAGATTTTGATCATCGAATACAACCAACGATCTATCGTCAACAGCAATTGATGAAGAAACAGGATCAACATTACCGATCACTTTTACTTCATCCGAATTCAAAGTTCATTTAATGACAGCAACTTCTTCTACACTATCCGGAACTTCTTCGTCATCCATCCAAACATAATCACCGGATTACTATCTGTTCTGTTGCATAAATCTTCACCTTCCATCGTGAATTATTTTTCGTTTGAAGACTAACCCGAATGATATAAAATTTACCCAAAATTGGTGCAATTGTTATTGTTGAATGATTTTGATGATAATATGAACCATAACTACCCGTTCAAAATTAAAAATATTACGCTGATAACGTTTTGTGATCACATAATTAAAACAGAAATTTTGCAGAATAACTGGGCGTGGAGTCATAAAAACCGGGATAATGGTACCATTTTTTTTTGCTTTGGGTGTTATACACATAGTGCTAGGTATACCAGGAGATTAATATTATTTGCCAAATTTACCCGATCAGTCTTTTTCGAAGAATTCCAACTTCATTATCCGACTCTGCCCTGCCTTTTTCATCGGCTTCTCCGCCGCCATGGGGAGGACCAAAGAAGTGGCGCGTCGCGGATACAGGGAGGTTTTGCCAAGGAGAGAACCTGTGGTCCGCATCCGTAAACCCCCGCCCCAACCAAACGAACCGCATTCCGAATCAGAAAAAAATTCCGATCTCGAATCAGACGAAACTTCTAATTCCGAATCAGAGGAAAATCACGATTCCGAATCAGAAGAATATTCAGATCCAGAATCAGAAGAAGTTTCCGAACCGCCAGAGCCGCCGCCACGAGCACGTAAGTCAGCTTTCTTCTTTCTTCGTTGACTGAACTGAGCAAAACTGCAAACGTGCAAAAACCCCTTTTACTTATTGTATCAAATGCCCGCTTCAAAATCTGTGAATTTTTTTCCTCAGATATTGAAGAATTTATCAGTTTATTCAAAAATTTATCGTCAATATATCATAGGTAGGCCTGTAATTTCAAAATTTAACATAATATTTTGGTTGGCCTGTAATTGTGATGTTGTCATCCGTTTAATATATTGGGGGGTGTCAATTTGGTTTGGGAGTTAAAAAAAAAAAAAAAAGGATGAATTCTTTGTCCAAATCTCTCACTCAGATGATGACAATTGTATTTCCTATCGAATTGCTGAAATTTTAAATCCTGAAGAAGAAGCTGTAGTGCCTAAAAGAGAACAGAAGTTGTTTTCATCATCGGATCAATCACCAGAGGAAACAACAGCAGTTGAAAATAAAAGGCCTATAATTATGACAATTAGAGAAGAGCATCAAGTCCGGTCATCAGACCAGCCGCCTGAGAGAGAGGTTAAAAGGGAAAACTGTTGTCCTGATTCACAAGAAAATGCCAAGAATCCGGGCATTTCTTTTGCTGACGAAAACGTTGGAATCTCTTTGGATGATTTTGTTCAGCAGTCAGGTGAAAAACTTGAAGAGATTGGAGAAGCTCTTGGAGGTGATGTCCAGAAACTTTTAAAATTTTGTCTTCCATATTGAACTTTCCTTTCTGTTTATTTACTTCAAGTCATCTATATGATAGTATTAATTTCGAAACTGTCTGTTGTACCCTTTTGCAGTTACACGACCTACTTTAAAACGTATACATCAGGAACTGGAAACATATTGTCGGCCTCTGCTCAAGAGATACAAATTGGATGACATTAGATCAAATACATCTGTCGATCCTGTAGGTGGTGACACTATTAAAACATCTGAGAATAGACCTTGTTCTAATGATAATGCCACAACAGAAGTGGCTTTGGCAGCAATCCTGACAGAGATGGTGACGAAAAGTTACAGGGCTGAACGCAATCATACCATGATCGTTGAGGCAACTTACAGAGGTGATACTGTGAAGTTCCCTTTATGTAGTAACTCTGGGATTGAAAAACTGCGGAGAGAATTGGATAAAAGGTTCGAGTTGAAAGTTGAGAGTTTCAAAATTAAGTACAAGGATGATGGCAAATGGTTCATGTTGTGTTGCAACGAAGATTTGCGCTTTCATATGGATGGTTTAAATGCATCAGGGCTGACTATGATGGAACTGTCGGTTTCGTTACCCAATTAGCTGATCCTTCAGTTTATCATGTAGTACTACATAAATGTACAAATGCTCTCTTATGGACCGAAGATTTGTAGGGTAATCTGTTGCAGAATTCTAAACTTTTTGGGCCGCAGATTAGGGGATCAGAATGGACAGTGCTTTGTAGATATGGACTTGGAGTTGGCAGATTATGTCTCGTCTCAACGAAGCTAGTTATTTGCTATCTATGTTATGAGAATTTGTTTAGTTGGTGCATGTTTAAAGCTTCCTTAATCAGAGAAATTACGCACGTAAAGTCAACCACAGGAAGTAACAATGCTAGTATCTGTAAACTTCGCAAGGAACACGATTGAAAAATGTCTCCTAAAAGTATGTCAAGTTTATATGGTGACCTTGTAGTTGCAATTACAAATCAAACATCATCTCCTTCAGGCCTTTAACTTAATCCTATGATTCATCCCTTTTTTCGGCATCGGGAAAAAAAAAAAAAAAAAACCTTTACCATACACGTCTGTTTAGAAGAAAAGTGTGACCCATTATAATTGACTTCCTGTGCCTCCATCATGTATCATGCGTAAATTTTAGCCACAATTTATTTACACAAAAAAGGGTTCACGAGAATTTATTTTATTTTAATTTTTGTTTTGTAAAAGTTCGTTGGAGTTTGGCTTTGGTTTGAAAACTCATTTACATCGGCTGGATTTGCATAGGAATCACAGGGTACATCAGCACTATCATGGTTTCTAGTCTTATTGACAATGAGGCGCGGTACACAAATTAATAGAGCCCCAAACTTATCATTTGCAATTTCTTTATTCCCAGTAGTTATAATTCCTTAAATTCTTTTAGAAGTATGGTGCTTTGTTGGATTCAGATCTAATTCCCAACTAATTTGATTAGCCGAATCCAACATCATTCTCCAACTCGAACTCAAAATTTTAGTAGAGCAATATTGAATCTGATACTATTCCAAAACTAGCCATTGTTAAGGTTCATGCTTATATACAAAACCCACGTAAATCTGGTTAATTGACTAACTTGTCGTCCCACCAAAAAAAAGAAGAAGAAGAAGAAGAACGAAATCGTGTTTGTTGACATTTAAAACGAGTAGTATATCACGATCAATCTTCGTAATCTTGTGTATGTATTCTTGTGAAATCCAGTCCTATGGTTAATACATGCATATAAGACTCTATGTATTCTTGTGAAATCTAGTCCTATGGTTAATACATGCATATAAGACATGACCTCATGGTTTATAAATGAATAGTTGATCAATCAGTGTCACGTTTTCATAAATATTACTTATTCCATCCTATAATAATTATCTAATTTTAATTTTCATTTTCAACTCAATTTGTACTAAAAGTAAAAATTAAAATTACGCAATCATTTTAAGACAAAATGACAATATGAATGTCAATCAAGTATGCTATGAGTATAATTATGTTTTTATTATTCATATATATGTTATCCACGCTTCCGTTCTAACTATATTGTTGCTGTTGCGTGCGTGTGTGTTTTCTACTTTTCTGTTAGTTACCTTAACTTGATTAACCATATATAAATAGACTAAGTTTCAAGTCAATATTCTCTATATTTGTCATGGCTTCAAGTAAAGTAGTTGATCTTTTTTTTTTTTTTTTTCCGGTTAAGGTTAAGTTGGTCATCATTGTGGTATTACAAATATGTCAGGAGCTCAGAACATATGCATCTACTCAAGAAATACAAAGTCGGTGACGTTCAATCAAATCCAAGCCTATAACACATCGGTTGAGCCTGTGGGTTATTATAAGGTGACGATTTACGAGACTGAACGCACAGTAATACGATCGAGATAGTTAACGTCCGTTTACGGAGGTGATATAGTAAAGATCCTTAAGAGTAGTAACTCGGGGATCGAGAATTGCTTAGATAATTGGATTAAAAAAAGGTTTGATTTGAAAGTAACTGGATCAAAAGGTGAACCAACAATCTAATTAGGTAATAAGATTTATCGGTTTAACTGGTCCGACTAGTTATTAAAGCCGGTGAAAACCATTGTTAATAATTTACTATAGAAATTCGACTTGGTGTTTTTTAATGTGGATTTAGTCTTCGATCACATTGGTTTTCTAAGCTCATATTTAGTGTATTCATTAGTGCACTCGAGGTGAAAGTATATGTTTTTTTCCTTAATAATTAAATATCAGTACCGATAATAGTCTAATAGGCTTCCAAATTTATATATAAATAAAACTTAATGAATTATTATTTTTCGTGTTTTACAAAAATAGTCTATATTATGAAATGTAAATTACGTTGAAGAAATACTCAATCTACAATATATTATTGTGGACTACTTTCTCAAATCACATCAATCACCTAAGTTGACGTCTAGAAGTAGGGAGCTTAGTCAAACTAGACAGTTGTCGGCGAAAAAAGAAGGAAATTTACATGAAAAGATGCACTTTGACTCTCTGCGCCATACAAAACCACCATTGATTTCTAAGAAATTATCAATGGCCTTCTTTCTATCCTCACCAAGATTAGTTTAATTAAGTTTGGCACCCATCCATTTACATATACCCCCGTATCATCAACTACTAATAACTATTTAGTATGTTTCCATCACGTCGCGCAACCGTCACATATAGGAGCTGTGTAAATTGTTGCATGGGCGCGGCGGAGTCAGCAAGTAATAGGTTGCCGCCGCCACCGTCAGGCACCGGCGGTGGGAAACTGGTGGTGGTGGGCCCTGAGTACTGTTCTCGAAACCCCTTGGAGCTGACCGTAAAAAAGAAGATCTTTTGCTTGTCGGAGGAGTCTGCCATCACGGATGTCAACAACAACCTACTTTTTAGAGTTGATAAATCGGTAGTCTTTAGTGACCCTCAGAAACTGATCTTCGTCGATGCCGCCGGACTTCCTACTCTCACCATCCAGAAAAAGGTTGGATTCGCTGTTTATTATAGTTGTCAATTATCACTAAATATGGTTTTCACGTTTTTGTTGATTTTTTCAATTAACGAAGGTGACTTGCCGGGAAGTCAAGCTTGAATTAGTTGCAAGACAAATAGCCATGCATAATAAAAATCGCTTTCTCGTAAATCACGTGTAATAGTTTAGGTGTTTCATAAAAGTTTTTATATGTTACGATGATCCCTGGTCCCTCATCAATTGATCGAGTATTTGATAATGGATCTATTGCCCATGAAAGCACTTTTTCCTTCGTTCTGATGTATTCTGTTTTCCTCATGTGTTTATGCAGTTCTGGAGTATTAGTGGTACGTGGCAAATGTTTAAGGGAGAAGATATGACAGATGAAGAACATCTGATTTGCACTGTGAACAGGGGCTTTGCGGTCATCAGAGATAAATTGAATGTATACTTGGCACAAAACACCACCCAAGAACACTGTGATTTCCAGATCATAGGAGGTTTTCTTGACGATTCCTACGCCGTTTACGCTGGTGATGATCAATCTGAGATTGTTGCCCAGGTACGTTTATTTTGTATCCTACTTGTTTCTTTCAATCATAATATATATACTCTATACTTCATCCCAAAATACTACAAAGCAATGTAAGAGTAACTGGTGATTATAATTTGTCAAACAATTTTTTTAAATCATCAGATATACAAGAAGTTTACGATGGGAAGTTTTCTTCTTGGAGAGAATGAGTACAAGGTGACAGTTAATCAGAACACGGATCACGCCTTCATTCTTGCACTTGTAGTCATTCTGGATGCCCTCAATTACTCGAGTTCTCTGTATTACAGAAGACGACGCACTGGCTGTGCTTGGGTTGGGTTGTTCTTTTTCTTTGTTTATATTATTATTATTATTATTAATCTGTTTAAAGAGACTAATAGTAGTTTTCCATTAATTCCTACGTGACATGTATGTAATCTATTAAAAATTCGAGAGACGTCTTACTAACTAAACTACAACTCATTGTCTACTGTGGTGAATTGTAAACAAAAACATCTTAAAGACTTTTATTGGACGAAATAGTTGAAGGACTACAACATAATATCTCTTTCTTTTTTTTTTTTGGAATAATACTATGGTCAAGTTTGAATGTATTTGATTACACTTGTATAAAATACCTTAAAAAATTGTAGGAGTGTACATAGTAGATATATACTGTACTAAATAAGGTGGCGTTTTCATAATTGTAAAAGTTGCTCCGATCCCTCTGGTCCCGTAAAGCACAAGTTTAAATTTAGTTTAGGCTAATTATGGCAGGAGTTCAAGTTTGGCTGAGTTCGACTCTACTTTAGATCTGACGCATAGATCAAAATTCGGCTCAAGTTCGGCTCTGATTTGTGCTAAAATCAAGTTTCAACCGAAGTAATAACCTAGTGACGAATAACTCGATCGGTTCGTTTAGTTAACATTATACATGTATAAACTTCATTGACTTAGCACAATTTCAGGTTGTTTCGCAGAAATTGAGTGGCTGTTAATATGTTTCAATATTTTCCTATTGCGAAATGAACAAGAACTCAAGTTATTTTCCAATTGCATATAATTAATGAACAAAGACTTTAGTTTGGTCAAATCATTTCTATCTAGATTGAAAGGTAAATGACTTGATATTCCTTCCTAACAAACTGCACATTTGAAGCGTTGAAGGTTCTTCGTGAATTAAAGCTGATTATTGCAAAGTTTCATTGGTGAGTGATGCTACTGTATCATCGTGAAAACCTTCGACCAATATATTTGGAGATTCCACATTCTCCGATGGCCCTCTTTCTTTGTGGACTTTAAATGAACGAAGCCATAGGCACAATTGAAAAATCCACTTTGAACCCGATCGTGAAATTATTCATCAGAGATTTTAAATTCCTCGTAAAGATATGTATTTTTTGACATTTATGATTGTGCTATTTTTTCATCATAAGTTGCTCAAGAGGGTTCGAGAAATTGTTCATCACAGATTTTAATTCCTCATAAAGATATGTATTTTTTGCCATTTTTTGTTCATCATATGCATTCCTCATAAAAATAAAATATCTTCATACTTGCAAGGTGTCCACTATCGGCAACAATGACTAATCTCCCTCGTTGAATTGTAGGCACCTCGATAGGTGGACAGCTAGCCAAGGTATTTAGGTGCCTCGTTGGGTGAGACAGCTGGCCAAAGTATTTAAGGTTGCTCCATGCTCATGCCGAGGTTCGAACCCTCAACCTATGGTTAAAGGTGGAGGAGTCCCTTCCACTCCACCGCAACCACTTTGGTTCATAAAGATAAAATATAATTACACTTTGAGGAAAACGTTCCAAGACCGGAGGGTCTGTATGGACAAATAATAACAAGCACCTAGGTATTCTTTGCAATGAGCACTTCCATGGACATGTGTAATACACTCTCCTTCTACACAAGTGGAGCTTTTAGTATAAATTTTAAGACAGTACACGCATGTTAAATTATTCGAATTTTATTCCCTTTTTTTAGCACACGATTAATTTTAAACTGATTTTTTTTAATGCTTATCCTATTAGCTTTTATATTATTTTATTTCATAAGATTTTTTTTTGTTAAAATGATGGATTTTATTTTTCGAAAAACTGGCGTACGAGTACATTTATAAATGAGTAACAATATTCACAAAGATGAATAACGATGCGAATCTTAATGAATAATGATCCCATCCTAGATGAATAACAAAACTAAAATGAAGAATATAAGTAGTTTTTGCAAGATGAATGATTGTATTTTAATAAATGATAATATATCGTTAGTGGATGAATAATGCAAAACAGAATGAATAACTTTGATCAAGAAAACTAGCAAAAGTATATTTTACAATGAAATAATATCAGCAACTAAGCTAACAAAATTCTAATTATGAAGTAAACTATATCAAAATTGATGAGGAAAACTAGTCATTATTTTTAACATATAAGGTCTTGAAAGATCCGCCGATACTCGATATGTTTATGTTGTAACTCCACCAAATATTTGATTCGCGACCGATCAAGTTCATTTTGATGAGCATTTTTTTGACGCTGATCAAACAAAAACAACATTACAATATGTGAGATTTCACATTCAATCAAAACTCTGTTAATCATCAATAACAAGGCTATTGAAGATGAATAATCATCTTTAAAATAATGAATAACTATTAAAACTATATAACATGTCAGGTTAATATGATGAATAACTATTATATTTCACTAATGATGAATTATTATATTTTACTTATTAAAATCAGAAAATGTAGTTTATTAGGATCATATATTCGTTTGGAAGAATACTTATAGTTTTAATGATGAATAACTATATCTGTATATATATGTATAGGTCATTCGAACAATATGTTGAACATACAATTAGATGAATAATCAAATGAATATGACCAAAATGGCGAGGAAGACTGGAAGAGTATGATTCCACAATTTCACTCTCTGTAGCAGCACTAATAATGACTGTACTCCGCCTGTCTCCGCAGCCATGGGGAGGCCCAAAGAAGTGGCGCGTCACGGATACGGCGAGTTTTACCGAGAAGAGACGTTGCGGTTCGTCAGCGTAGTCCCACGACCGAATCAAACTATTCCGGTACCATGTCATTCGAATCTTCCGATTATGAGGAAGAAGAAAATCCAGATTCAGACTGGGAAGATTCATCATATCCAGAATCAGAAGTTGTTCCCAAACCACTAGCGCCGCCGCCACCACGAGCGCGTAAGTCAGCCTTCTTCTTTCTTTGTTGACTGAACTAAGTAAAACTGCCAAAGTGCAAATCCTTGTTACTTTGTTGATAAATGATAAGCTGCAGAACTTAGCCCCATTGGAAGGGTGTTCACAAAGGAATCCCCTGAATATTGTTCAGACATATGCTTATACTCCAAGAAGGAATTTCCCTTGAAAGAACTTGCTAGTTCACACGGGCGTTCGCCAATATTGGGCTTTGCCAATTTGCGAACTTGATGCGTCTGGCCAGCCCCAGCTGCATTGTGTTGGAGTACTTGAGTTCCTATGTCACATACGGCATGTAACTCCGGCAAGATCAACATTCAATAGGATTGTTGATGCACTTAAGGTACACATGCTTTGTTGTTTTGTGCTCCACCACATCTTAGACTAAATTCAAAGTAAATTTTCTGTGCATTTTGTCATTTCTGTATTTTTTTTTTTTTTCTTTTTGTAGCCTCTGGGGCTTACATGTCAAGGTTTACGTCCTGAGGAATGCTACTGTGTAAGTAGATTTCTTTACGATGACTGTGATTTCTTGTTTTACTTGTATGATTTCTCTTGATGTTTGTGTTAATTGATGCTCTCGGTTGATTCCAATTTAGGACCATCCAGAGTTATTTGATTCACACTTGCACATTGATGATGTACTGAAGTTTGTGACTCCAACTAGATGGTATTCTGATATGGGCTCCTTGCATGTGCAATGGTTCAGCAGCTTTTGCCAAGGGTGGAAAGAATGTTACTAGTTTATTACTTCACTCGGCATTTGTGGAATGGAATAGGAAATTAGTCGAAGAGCTTTATGTAATGACTTCAAACACTGCCTGTTTTGTTAAAAAGAGGAAAGGTTTGATTGGAAAAGCATGTTCACTAGAGAAGGCATGTTTTTTGGGATGATACAAGTCAACTCAACATCTCAGACTATCCTCTGTTTCATTTTATTCGCTCAGCTGGAATTGCTGCTTCATTTGCAATCCCCCTGCAGTTATTTCATCCTGTCCTTTCTCCTTCAATATTAGAAGTCTATGTTCCATCCCGACAAATTTTTACCATGGATATGAAGGAAGCTCTATTGAAGTCAATATTGTCTACATTGGCTGATGAACTCTATTTTGTATTAAGACAAAATGCGGGATTCTTTGTCCAAGTCTCTCACTTAGACGTCGACAATATTACTCACTTTGATGTACGTCGACAATATTCCCCCCCGCCCCCCTCGCCCCCCGCCATTTTGTTTTTTAATTGAACTTGTCATCCTCGACGAAAATAACAGCCAAGAGAGACTTCAGATGAAAGATAAATTGAGCGGGTGTGAAGAAGAGGTGAGAAAAGATTTCAGCTCACTTGTAAACAATACTGGGGAGAGAATAAAATGGATAATGATAGACTAATAGAGTTTGAAAAAATTATATAAGGGTATAGCGGTCTATAAAAAAATTTGCTCTTAATAAAAAAAAAATCAATTGCCAAAATGTTGTTACATTATAACTAAAGTAGAGGTAAATTATTTATTTTAATTTGGAAACAAACTAAATCGGGATGTAGTTTTGATAAATTAATGATTCTACTTTATTTTTTAGTTTATCAAAATTAGAAAGTCACACATTTACAATAACTAGTTTTTGGGACCGAAAAATTACCGAACAATAAAGGTTAAAAAAAATATCTCGCCATATCCAGAAGTTAATTGCATTAATGCTAATCTTACTTTGATTTGTACTAAGAGTAAAAACGCAAACAAGATTATCGTTTCGAGGTGGAGGAAACATTTTAATGTTAGAGGGAAGATGCTTGAACATTGAAATAAGATACTAGTTTGACGCATGGAGCAAATTAACAAGAGTGTTGCATGTGTTATACGAATTTGAAAATTTAGTTCTATGAGTGCAGGAAAGCTAAAAACAACATAAAACACGAAACTAAGGCTAGTTATTCGTATAACTAGAGAAAATGAAATTTTTTTTTAGTTGGGTACATTGTAACACTTTGCTTTTGAATGTGATTACAATTTCAAAAAAAAACCTAAAACACCACATCGTAACAACTCTTTAAAGGGAATTTGAATTATTAAATAAAATATTTGAGATTGTGCTTGCAAGAGAGGAAGAAATCAAATAGACAAATTTAAGAGTAGTTTACTACTTTACTCTAAATTTTTTTCGAACTCTGGATTCAAAAAGGACTAACGTTGATGACATACATTCTTCAGCAGTCCAATTATAAAAATATTTTCCCTTTAAATTTTTTTGACTGAAAAAAATAAAATAAAAAGAGGTTGTGCTTGCAAATGAGGAGATCAAATACACAAATTTAAGAGTAGTTTACTCTAAATTTTGTTCGAATGGACTCAAAAAAGACTTAACGTTGATGAGACACATTCTTTAGCAGTCCATTCCCTTTTTATAAAAATTTCCACTTTTGTGCTTTTGAAGATTTCTTAGTGTCTTTTGAATCGGATTTTACGAATAGACATTTTAGAAGTTATTATAATTAGATGGATCAAACGCGTACATGAATAAAAGAAAAGGTAAGATTGACAGTATATATTAGTATGAGTATGTAATTATCGAGTCTGTATCCAGTATATCTGGGGCTACCGTGCCTCCCTCTTATTTTTTGCACGACGAGTCCTTATTGTATTTTTCATCAATCATTTTATGATTTGCAAGTTTAGTCCCTGTGACTCTTTTTATCTCTCCTTTAAAAATATCTCTAATCTTTAAATGATCATATCTCATAATCCGTAAAGAATTAGAGAACGTGTTATGCATGAAAATTATAGTACTCGTTGAGATCTATTCAACAAGATCCATATCTAATTTTTTTTCCAACTTAAAAATGATCAAATTTCTTAGGGTAGAATTAAGTTGGATATGCAGTACAAACAAGTTGGATATCCAGTACAAACAAGTTGGATAATAAGTTGGATATCCAGTACAAACAAGTTGGATAATCAGAATAAATACAGTGGATAACCAGTTCAAACAATTTGGATAAGCATGTAAATCCGTTGAAAAAATAAAGAAAGAAAGAAAAAAATGATTGGATAAGCATTGCAAACAATTTGGATAATCAATAGAAAATAATTGGATAATCGGTGCAACACGTTGGATAATTAGTACAAAAGAGTTTGACAATCATTTTCATAAAAGAGTAAGGGAAAAAAAATACTGGATAACCACCACGAAGAAGTTTTATAATCAATATGAACACATTGGATATCCAGTTTAAAAAGATGGATAACCAACTTATTTTACATTCATATTGTTGTGTTCCTTGTATCTTTTGATTCATAAAGAATTATAACACGAATTATATATGAAATTTATAGTGCTTGATGTGATCTATCCGATAATATCCATGTTGAATATTTTTTTTGAACTTTAAATGCATTTAAATCTTACGGGCAGAAATGAAGAAATGTGTTTTTCATTTTTCTTTGAAAAATGGTTATCCGTTGTGTTCCTACTGATTATCCAACCAGTTTGGACTGATTATCTATTCTGTTCGTACTTGTTATCCAATCATATTTTTGACATTCACTCTTCAAAAAAAAGAAAGAAAGAAAGAAAAAATGATTGGATAAGCATTGCAAACAATTTGGATAATCAATAGAAAATAATTGGATAATCAGTACAAAAAAGTTTGACAATCATTTTCATAAAAGAGCAAGAAAAAAAAAATACTAGATAACCACCACAAAGAAGTTAGATAATCAATATGAACACATTGGATATCCAATTTAAAAAGATGGATAACCAACTTATTTTGAATTAAGAAGTTGGATAATCAATATGAAGTGGATGGATATCCAGTACAAACGAGTTAGATATCCAGCAAAAACAAGTCGGATATGTATACAAACCCGTTGATTACAACTACAAAATAAGTTGGATAAGCATATAAACCAAATGGATGGATATCCAGTACAAACAAGTTGGATATCTATTTCAAACAAGTGGGATATCCATTCAAACAAGTTGGATAGACATCCAAACCAAATGGATAAGCAGTACAAACAAATATTCATCTTGTAAAACTGGATATCCACCTATTCTGTCCATCAGAATTAAGTCATTTTTAAGCCCGAAAAAATATTCACTATGGATTTTGTTGGATAGACTCGACGAGTACTATAAATTTCATAGATAATTCGTTCACAAATTCTTCACGGATTGGGAGATATGCTCGTTGAAAGATTAGAAATATTTGTTTTGGAAGAGAGAGAAAAAATGACAGCTATTAAACTTGCAAAATATAGAAAGATTTATAAAAAAGTACAATAAAGACTAGAAATGCAAAAAATAGGAGGGGGTACACCATGCCCCCGGGTATAATGGATAAATTACCTAATTATCACATGATTAAATTAAATAGAGAAATAAAATAATAATAAAAAATACTCCGCATGCCTTATTTTTGTAATCCATTTTATTACTATAAAATTGTATTAAAATGGAACAAAAAAGGAATATATGTATATATATAAATATTTATTTATTTTCCCACAACAAGCTAATTTGGCATTTACACCATTAAATTCTATGACCTAAAATATGTATGCAAAGGTGAGTCATAGTTCAAAGAATATAATTAAGGTAAAAAAAAAATAACAAAAAAAGTACATTAGAAATTATTACTTACAAATTGTAAAGTACAAAAGGTTTCAAACTTATCTAAAATTAAGAAGACATCCATGTTTCTAAAATTTTTCTTTTAGAACCATCATTCTAGATATTGCAACTCATCTTTCACTTAATGTTATGTGATTAATGAAAAATATCCATCTCTACATGCTGTCCAATTAATATTAAAGTTCCAATTAGGTTGCTGGAAAAATAATTCCAAATGAACTTGTAAAATAAGAAAAAAGGAAAAGAAAAGACAAAGTTGGATAAAGATAAGTAAAGAAGAGAAGATAAAAATGAAAGACGCCAAATAAAATGTGGTTTTTAAATACTTTCAGTAGAAGGTAATGTAAAGATTGCTAAAACATTAGATGAAAGGATTCTAAGGTCTTGGTTACAATATAATATTGTTGGTATTTCTTACCAACCTTATGTAATAAATTAGAAACTGAAGGCGTTAGCCTCCTTTATTGTACCAAAAAAAATAAGAATTTTAAATAAACAAAAAACTATAACAGAAAATAAAGGGAGATGAAAAGCATAATACATTTAGTTAAAACAAAAGACTAAGGAACATGAAAAATATAACATCAGTGATGAAGAGTAGAAGATGAAGGGAAATTTTAGAGTAAATAATAAAAGATGAAAATAGATGAAAATCTTAATAAAAGATTATAATAAATATATTCAGAAAAAAAATGAAGAGGTCACTAAGTTTGGCTTTAAAAAAAACTAAACGTTAAAATAAACAATAAAAAAAAAGCATGTGAGAATCATGTAAGCCGAGTACCAAACTCAATCCCACATTTCCTAGTTATAGTCTATGTCGCATGTCGGTTTATCAACAATTTGTTTGATTGAAATTTCATTTCATCAAAAAAGGTGTTAATACTTTTCAAAATGTTCTTAGAAAAAATACAATTTGAAAGCATCAATACGCCGCGCTCTCCTAGTAGCAGTGGAAAAAAAAAAGGGGAAAAAGACGAAAAACAGACCCGCGAATCAATGAGGGTCAGCACGCGGGTCATTAAAATTCGAGTGCTTTTCTCAAGTGCGCAAGGAGGGCACTAACTGTACTCTCTCCGACGCTTCTCCGCCGCCGGCATGTGGAACCCTAAAGAAGTGGCGCGTCGTGGACACGGCCAGGTTTTGCCAAGAAGAGAACCTGCGGTTCCTCAGCGTAGTCCCACGCCCGAATCAAAACATTCCGGTACCAAATCATCCGAATACTCCGATTCTGAGAAAGAAGAAACTGATGAAGATTCACCAGATACAGAATCCGATGAAGAAGAAGAAGATCCCGAACCACCACCGCCGCCGCCGCCACCACCGTTTCGACCAAGTAAGTCAGCTTTCTTCTTTCTTTGTTGACCGCGCAAAACCCTTTTAATTATTGTATCAAATGACAGCTCCAAAATCTGTGAATCTTTTTCCTCATATGATAAAGAATCTATCAGTTCATTCCATTTTTTTTTTTGTCAATATCTCCTAACTTCAATTTCAAAGTTTAACATTTAGTGTATGCATAACCATGGTGGAATATGGGTTTGTCAAATTTGAGTTGGCCTGTTATAATCATGTTGTCACTAATTTCATTTTATTTTTATTTTCCAGATATGACTCTCAATCCATTGAATCCACAAGTCCCTCTTTCCCCTTCGATGCGGCTTAAGATTCAGTCCTTTTTGAGTAGGCGGCCATGGAAAATCCATCCCAAGGTAAATGCTTTGGTACAGTTTTGGTCTCCTATAAAAATCTCCAACTCTAGGAAGCTTACTATGTCACCAGGTCCTTGGTTTTTTGATGAGGATAACCTCCGGAGATACAGGGATGAGTGTTTTGTTCGTAGACTTCATGAATATGGGTTGATATCTCATGATGATAAGTTTAAAGAAGCTAGCCCCATTGGAAGGGTGTTCAAACAGGGATCCCCTGAGTATTGTCCAGACATAATCTCTTACTCCATAGACGAATTTCCCTCGAAAGATCTTGCTTTTTCATACGGCATTTGCCAATATTGGGCTTTGCCAATTTGTGAACTTGATGCGTCGGGCCAGCCCCAGCTGCATTGTATTGGAGTACTTGAGTTCCTGTTACACAGAGACATAGGGCATGTAGCTCCGGCTAAAGCAACATTCAATAGTATTGGTCATGCACTTAAGGTACACATGCATTTTTGTTCTGTGCTCAACCAAATCTTAGACTGAATTCAAAGTTTATTTTCTTTGCGTTTGTCATTACTGTATGTTAAGTGGTTATCTTCTTTTTCTTTGGGTAGTCTCTGGGGCTTACATGTCAAGGTTTACATTCTGCGGACTGCTACAGTGTAAGTAGATTTCTTTAAGATGACTACGGCCTTCTTGTTTTACTTATATGATTGCTCTTGATTTTGGTATTGATTGAAATTTTCGGTTGGTTCCAATTTAGAGCCATGCAAAATTATATGCTTCGTTGCCCATTGCTGGTGTACTGAATGTTGTGAGGAAAAAGCTCCAACTTGATGCTATTCTGCGATGGGTTCCTTGCATGTGCAATGGTTCAGCAGCTTTTGCCAAGAGTAATAAGAATGCTACTAAATTAATTCTTCGCTCGGCATCTGTGGAATCGAATTTCGAATTTGTTGAAGATCTTAAAGAAATGACTTCAAACGCTGCCTGTGTTGTTAAAGAGGGGAAAGGTTCAGTTGGAAAAGCATTTTCACTAAAGAAGGCATGCTTTTTCAATGATACAAGTAAACGCAGGATCTCAGACTACCCTCTGGCTCCTTTTATTGCTGGATTTGCAGCTTCATTTGCAATCCCACTGCAATTAGTTCATCCTAACCTTCCTCCTTCAATATTAGAAGTCTATGCCCCACTCCGACAAACTGGTACCATGGATATGAAAGAAGCTCTATTGAAGTCATTATTGTCTACATTGGCTGAGAAACTCTCTGTGTATAATGCTGATTTCGGATTAGGACAAAATGAGGGATTCCAAATCTCTCACTCCTGTCCCTCCCCGACCGCCCGGCTCTCACGAGATGTTGACAATATTAATTGCTTTGATGTACATCGAATTGCTGGATGTTTGAATCCTGTCAGAGCTGTAGCACCTAAAAGAGAAGAGCTGTTTGCATCTTTGGAGCCACCAAAGAGAAGAACAACAGCTGGAAATAGAAGGCCAATTATGACAAATGGAGAAGAGCATCGACTTCCATCTTCAGATAAGCTGCCAAGAAAGAGCACTCATGATGTTGAAAGGGAAAACTTTAGTCTTATAAATTATCCCAGTACACATGACAAAGCTAAGAATCCTGAGATTCTTTTTGCTGACGAAAACGTTGGAATCACTTTGGATGATTTCATTCAGCAGTCAGGTGAAAAACTTAATGACATTGGGGAAGCACTTGGAGGTGATGTTCTGAAACTTTGAAGATTTTATCTTCCATATATATTGAACTCAGTTTCTGTTTAATTTTTCCAAGTCATCAATATGCTATTATGTTACAAACTGACTGCTGTACTTTTTGCAGTTAAACGACCTACTTTGAAACGTATCCGTGAGGAACTCGGAACGTATTGGCGACCTCTGCTCAAGAGATACAAAGTCAATGGCATTCAATCAAATCCAAATCAACCAAATACTTCTGTCGAGCCTGTGGGCGGTGAAACTATTAGAAAATCTGCGTGTAGACCAGGTTCGGATGATGATGCTGGAGTAAATGTGATTTCGGCTGCAATCCACGCGGGTTCAGAGGGTAAAAATAAGGTGAGAAGAAGTTACGAGGCTGGAAGCAGTTATACCATGGCCGTTAAAGCAACCTACAAAGGTGATATTGTAAAGTTCCCTTTGGGTAGTAACTCGGGGATTGAAAAGTTGCGCACAGAATTGGATAAAAGGTTTGAGTTGCAAGTTGAGAGGTTCAAAATTAAGTACGAGGAGGATGGTGAATGGATCATGATGTGCTACGATGAAGATTTGCACCTTCATATGGATAGTTTAAATGCATCAGGGGTGACTATGATGAAACTGTCAGTTTCATTACCCGATTAGCTAGCTAGTGATCTTTCAGTTCATCCTGTAGTACTACTTCTATGTATCAATGCAATCTTATAGACAGATTTGTAGGGTAATCTGTTGCAGTCTTGCAGAATTCTCTTAAAAACTTTTTGGGCTTCAGGTCAGGGGGTCAAACTGCAAAATGCTTTGTAGGTATGGAGTTGGCAGAATAGGTCTTGTCTCAACTAAGCTTCTATCCTTTAGTCAATCTTGCAGCAAACAATGGTAGCCATTTTCTTTCGAAATCCATCTGTGCTTAGATATGTTATGAGCAATACTTTAGTTGGTGTATGTTTAAAGCTTCCTTATTCAGAGATATTACACCTTTTAAAGGAACACCTCCCGAAGTAATTAATAATGTTGGTGTCAGTAAATTTCGTGAAAATAATGAAGCTGAAGCTATATCTACTAAGAGCATCCGTTATAACAAAACACCAATTTTGATGTTGCTTTTGCTGAAAAGCTCTCCAATGGGAGTAGCGAAACAGCAAAATCCCTCAAAAAATTTCCTGCAAAAATATTTATCCAAAATTAAAATACTAACGTTTTTGCAGAGGCTAATTGGGTTATTAAAGACCATGTATTCTTGTGCCTGTTAATTACTAGATTGCAATAATTCATTTTTCCCTTCATTGTGCTAGAGACGCGGAAGAATGAAATAGAACTAGAAACAATTCTATTAATTAATTTATTTTAGTAAGATTTTTTTTCTTAGTTATTGGATTTGATTGCGGGAAGTGTATTGAGCGGTGGATGGAGTGTGACAGGCCATAAGGCTTCAGTCGATACATGGGTGAATGAGGTCAGTGAGTTTCAAGAAGATGCGCTTGGGATCCCTATGATTTATGGTATTGATGCCATTCAGGGACACAACAACGTCTACAATGCCACTATTTTTCACCACATGTTAGTTTTGGACTTATTAGGGGTAAAGATACAGTTCTGCTGTTAATTTTAAGGGTATAGTCCCGTGATTTAATTAATAATTATTAGATTAAATTAAATCAATCACAGCAATAGAATTTGCATTAAAGGTAAAAAAAAACTAAAGTGTATATGACTGGCAACCAGTAAATTATTTATAGTATAGAATTTAATAAGATTTGATAATTCCCCTATTACAGACTCAATCTACCAGAATACTTTCCATTTTTAATTTTTAATCATGCAATGTGCCATTTGTTTTTTTTTTTTTTTTTTAATTTTTTTGTGAAACCCAGCACTTAGTCGATTACAGTATAGCTTATTTAGTTGAAAATTCGCCTCACTTACCGAAGGGATGCTAGCCACTAATAATAAGGGCTTAAGGACCCATATTAAGTCCGTTTGTATAGAATGTGTTACCTACCTAGTCTCCTCTAAACTTGATTGGTGAGACTTTGTGTTTAAATCAGTTACTATAATCAGATTAGTTGTTATTTGTTAGTTTTTATGTAACTGCTCATATTATGTTGTTAGTGTTTTTATCTTTTCACGAATCACTATCCTGTTTCACTCATATTAAATTGATAGTATTTTTATCTTTTCACGAGTCACTGTCCCATTTCAGTGTACGTAGTCAGTATCCCTATCATTGCCTTCTCATTATAACATATCATAGCAGTTAGTTTAGTTCTCCTTTATATTAGAACAAAGAATAAAGAAAATTAAAAATAAGGATAAAAAAATCACAAAAAACGTAACTAAATATTCCGATGGACAATAAATGATTAATTATCACCTAAATATTCCATGCACAAATATATAGTTTCGATAAAACAACACCCTAAATATTCCATGCACAAATATATAGTTTCGATAAAACAACACAAAATATAAAATCAATATAAGTGTAATAACGTACACACAAATGTGCATGTTTGATTTTGTTTTTGGTTTTAGGGCTATTTATTCGTTGTTTAGTTGCTGACTTATAAAGTGGAAGATGGAATGCTCTATTCTTTGGATGGAAAGTTCAGTATTGATTTCTATACTACGTGTTAAAGTGTAACCATTAATCATTTTTAATTTTTTTTATTAGTTAGTATATTGGTTTTTATTTCAGTTAGTGATGTTTCGATTATAATTTTGTTAATTAATATACGTTTTACCCCTTAACGGACAATATTAATAAATGATTACTGTTGATTACGTTGTGTAGAAATTACACAAAAAAAGCAAAATAATAATAATACTAATAATATTAATTATATATTAATCGACTAAACTTTCAATATATGTAATAATAATAATATATTCTATTATATGTAATATATTATAAAATAAAATAATAAATGATTACAACTAAATTAATACAATAATACAATATATTCATTATACTTTTTCATATGATATAATGATAGAAAAATTTAACGTTATGATGATAAAACAAAACGTAGAGATCATTAGAGAGAAAATTTTTAAAATGAGAAAAAGAATGGAAAATGGTATGTATAGTGAAAAAAAAAATAGTGACTACAAATAGTGAATAATATAGAGTAATTTTGACCCCCTATTTTTGTTCAAAAAGAATAAAAGTATTTATGAGAGACATACGGTAGAAGAAAAGCATATTTGAGAAATTAAAGTAATTATCTGGAGCAAAAAAATAATGCAGAGAATAAGAAAATATGAAAAAAAGAAACGAGATAATAGTAAAAAATAAAATAATTATTACAAATTTTTGAAGAAATGAAGCTTAAAACATATAACACGGGTAGAAATATATGGATAGATAACTATAAAAAATCTAAGAGAATAATTTCAAAAAATATAAAACCATAAATCAACAAATGAGAAAGATGGACAACAAGTTACATTGGATGATTTCAAATATTGAAATGTATCCCAAATGTACTTAAAATAACAAAATATATTGACAATGTACTTAGAAGCAGTTCCCGATGTTGAGGTGGTCCTTATTGAACCCTGGTTTGACAGTGACTTAGATGCATTTGTTGCAGATTGATACTATATACTTGCTAAATGATTCAGGTTGCAATTAGATCCTGAACCCTGATTTCTTGATCCATGATGATGAGTTGAATTGCCTGCATTGCCTTCATTTTCTTTACTCTGAATTTGTGAACCCTGAATCTGGCTTGAGCTGGCTACAGGGTGTCCAACTGTCGTAGCCTCAATCGCTTTGGACTGACATGTTGACATCTTAAACTGAACCTGGTCATGAACCTGCTTTTCGGCTGCAACTTTCTCAACCTGGATTTCTACTACAAGTTCATTTGTATTATTTTCTGCTGCAACTTTATCAACCTGAGTTTTCTGATCTGAGTTGTTCATCAGGCTGTTAACTAGAGTCATGACTTCGGCTCTATTCAGAGTTTTGAGTTCTCCTTGAGTGACGTAACGACTTTCTTAGTTTCAGAACCTTTCGAATCTCACTTGCATTAGGCTCGAGAATGGGAGAAGTCTGATTTGGAGCTGCAGGGTTCAGACTGAAAGTTGCTGCAGTGTTTAGATTAGAAGTTGCTGCAGTTTGAACATCCTCAGTACCAGGAGGAACAACATTCGAAAACAGAAGCGACTTTTTGGTTCTCAGACACTGCATAGGATTGAGAGTTGCAGCTGCTTTGCCCTTGGATGGAGACTGAACTTTTGAGTTTGGACTTGCTGCAGTCCCATCTCCCACCTTACCTCTCACCATATCTGCAAGATTCCACATCCAATCAATTAGTTATGGTGTTAAAATGATCATTTTAAATAACAAATAAAATAGAACCATGTTATACAACAGAGATACAAAGTAAACTGCATATATATCAGAATCACAAAAGACTCACAACAGTTAAGGGTATATCAGAAACAAAATCATAAAGCAGCAAAAACATGCACTTGACATCCATGTCGACATTCAGTCACCGTCTTCATTATTTCCAACCTCTAAATCAACAAGAATCCAACTTGTATCATTTAAAGGTTCCGATATAGGATCAATGGCATCAAATGCATGATTCTCTACAAAATTTCAGAAAAGACAAATTGGTTTACAAGTCACATAAAATCATTTATAAAAGAATTTCACATGCATTTCATCATAATATGCTTTCAGAAAAGAAGATTACATGGCATGCATCAAATATCATCTTTAATAAAAGAACAACACATGGGCATCACACATATATATCCATGACATCATGCATAATCACGAACTTTCAGTTCACAGGCAGATTCAATTGAAATGTCGTTTAGTAGCATACTTGGTTCAACATCATGCATCAATAAATATATCCTACATGTCACAAAAAAAGTGATAAGTGTAAGGCTCTACTTACTTGACCCCAGTTTATACTTCTTCTCACAAACTTTCACCAGCTGAAAAGTAACAGAACCTTTCTACCTTATTCTTAAATGTGAACCTGCAAAACCAAATTACAGAATCAAGAGGAAGAAATTTGGTCTGAAAAAGTAAGCAAAACAACCCTGATCATCTGAATATATGTATCCCAGTTACACATAAATGTTTAGATATTGAAACAGGCCTATACAGCTAATATGAGGAGTTAAGCATTCAGGACTTAACAGGGAAAGAATTCAAGATTGATAGGTTTCAAATATTCGTAGAAATCCATATCTCAGATCATAATTATGCTTACATGGTGGACAAATATCTTCATATTCAGTGTGCTTAGTGTCAATTATGGTACAGATTAGCCTGCAGGTATATATAATACATTGCATACATTCCGTCATCATCCAACAATCAGTGCAAAAAAATCAATTTAGTTAAAATAATGGCAACATAATTAAGAGTTGAATAGAAAAGTTGGATTTTTAATATACTATATAGTAGTGAAAATGATTCAGAATTGGTAAAACAGGTTGAATAATTCAGAATGATTCTCAGTTGTCAACAAGCTCAGTCTCAGTTGTCAAAAAGCTCAGTCTTTCATTGTTAAAGCATGCAAGTAGCAGAGGATGCGAAAGCATCAATACAGAGGATGGTCAGCACCGACATGCAACACTTGAACCAATTTTTGCTCTAATTATATAGTGAATACTAAACAGTCTACAACCTATTTGAAAATACCCTAAATATATGCATCTAAAATAGGTTGAATATTTTCCATTTTTAATCTATCTTCTCGAAAAGCACAACAGTGAAAGCGAAAGCAAACTATAGTTGCTGAACATTGCAAAAGAAATTTACAGAATAGAAAGAAATAAAATTGGCCTCAAGTATTAAGTAATACATAAAATTGGCCTCAAGTATTAAGTAATACCAACCCTGATCATCTCTACAAATGAGCATCATCTACCCAATAACTTATAGAAGGGAACAAGTCACTACAAGTGAAACAGGGAAATCAATTTTTGTATATACTGGTAATGGTATCCCAGTCAATATGAAACAGGCATCAATAAATATGTCCTACATGTCACAAAAAAGTGATAAGTGTAAGGCTCTACTTACTTGACCCTTCTCCTCACAAACTTTCACCAGCTGAATAATGCACAAAAGTGACAGAAGCTTTCTCCCTTATTCTTAAATGTGAACCTGCGAAACCAAATTACAGAATCAAGTGGAAGCAATTTGAGCTTAAAAAGTAAGCAAAACAACCCTGATCATCTGAAGATATGTATCCCATGTTACACATAAACTTTCAAATATTGACACAGGACTATACAGTCAATATGAGGAGTTAAGTATTCAGGACTTAACAGGGAAAGAATTCAAGAATTCAGGGCCAAAATAGAAGTCGGCAACATCTGCACACTGGTCTATATGGTGGAAAGTATTCTCAGCTATCAACAAGCTCAGTCTCAGTTGTCAAAAAGCTCAGTCTTCCATTCTTAAAGCATGCAAGTAGCAGAGGATGCGAAAGCATCAATATAAAGGATGGTCAGAACCGACATGCAATATTTGAACCAATTTTTGCTCTAATTATATAGTCAATATTAAACAGTCTACAACCCATTCAAAAATACCCTAAATTTATGCATCCAACAACAAAGACATACAATTTATTTCACGGGTTTATACCATTGTTAATGCCTTAAATCCTAATTGGAATGGGAATTGCGCCAGTGGCACCATACACCAGCTCAGTGAAGAGAAAAAAGGAGTATCTTTTCAGTAAATGCACAACAATGAAACACACCATGAACAACAATGCACGACACGCTCATTTAATCAACAAAAGCACAAGAAACGAATCCACATATAGCACACCATGAACTAGGGCTAAAATTAAATCTTAACAACAAAAATCGAACCTTCTTGATCGGATTAGGTTTGCACTGGGATCTAAAAGTAGCGATTTGCACTGGAATCGGATGGAGAAGCCGTCTTTGGAGAAGCCCTCAATCGGAATTGTATATTACTGAACCTAAGGGTTTCCAGTACAACCCTTTGGAGAAGCCCTCAAAGATTGGAAGAATATGCCTTAGTTTGGTCTAAAATTAGGGCTAATCTCTGAATACGATGCAGGCGACCGATTGAAAGAGGATGTCGACGGTGGATTTGGAGAAGAGATTGGGCAATTGAGAGTTAGGGCAGAATTGAGGGCAAGTCGATTGTGTTTTGGGACTTAGACAAAAATGAGTGTGTTTTGGGACTTAACCCGATTTGGGGGATTTTTCGCAAAAAACAGGAGACCCAACCCAAAGCGTGAAAAAATTGGCAAAAGCGGGAACTTTCCCACATTTTTTTTCATTCAGAATTTTTTTTCCAAGTTAATTTAACAAAATTTTCTGCTTTAAACATATTAAATGTCTAAATTATATTATGGCCCAAATAAATTATAAAATAGCCACCCTATTATTTACAAAATGGCACCCTTGAAGTTTTTTTTTCTTTTTTTAACCATATACTAATGTAAATATTTTCATGAACGCCCTTAATGACTAATTTTTTTTAATTTTAATTTTAACCAAAATATTATGATATCTAAACAACGTCCACTTTGTTCCCCGTCCCAAAAAATGACGTTTCACTTTGATTCAAATGAACATCAAAATGAAACTCAATTATGTGATCGTTATTGAATATTAATAACAGTAAGTTCATAATCGGTCATTAATTAATTTCAACCTTCACAAATTATTGTCTACATACAAATTACACTGATTAGGTATAATCACAACTTATCAAATCATAAATGTGATCACAAACTTTATCAATATATGTCTCAATAGTCTTTTCAATACATTATCAATATATACTCTATTGTCATGCATGATTATATAGTTCATCAACAGTCTTTTTGGATTGAAGTATATATATATTGTTATGCAATATACAATAAGTACCATACATACAATTTGGACAACATCTATATATGTACAAAGTAGATACAATTTAATATAAAGTGCTTTATTTGATCATACTACATGAATAATATACAACTAATACATTGATATCATATTCATATACATATATAGTTCATCAACAGTCTTTTTGGATTGAAGTATATATATATTGTTATGCACTATACAATAAGTACCATACATACAATTTGGACAACATCTATATATGTACAAAGTAGATACAATTTAATATAAAGTGCTTTATTTGATCATACTACTTGAATAATATACAACTAATACATTGATATCATATTCATATACATATATATATGTATATATATATATATACATACATATATATATATATATTAATTGAACCAATAATCATGTCAAACTGCCTAAATACAACTTATTTATGAATAAAATTTAAAATTTTAGAATTATTTTATCCACGAATTACCCACACCAAAGCCGTGGGTGGCGAAGTCTACCCATGCATTCGCCACACAATACCCACGAAAAATCTACCCACATAAAATGTCGTGGGAAAACCGTGGGAAACTATAGTTACTCACGAAAGGTGTCGTGGGTGAACCGTGGGTAACTGTACTTACCCATGGCTCACCCACGATAGCAACACGTGGACAATTTAACTTGCACATGGTTTACATTTGAATTTTTTGGGTGATAACTATTACCCACGAGTTCCCCTCGGAGTAAAACTCATGTGTAATTACCCACAGATAATCGCGTGAGAAATTTGTGGGGAGCTTGTTGGCGGGAAACTTTCACCAAAGTTTTAAATCTGAAAATGTTACCCACTAAAAAATCCGTGAATAATACGTGGGTGATATAATTTTCTCACGAGTTTCCCACGGATGTATTTGCGTGTGTAGTTATGCACAGCTATTCGTGTGGGAAAACTCGTGAGAGTTTTGTTGGCGGGAAACTTTAACCCACGAGTTGCGTGCAGAAACAGTACCCACAAAGCAACTTCGAGGGTAATCCATGGGTGATTTAATTTGCTCACGAGTTTCCCACGGATTACTGCTCATGTGTGATTTCCCACAAGGTTTGTTGTGAGAAACTTGTGGGGAAATTAATGGTGGGAAACTCGTACTCACGGAATACCCACCACATCTTCTTTCGTTTGAAATCTTGCGAGAAATCTGTTGGAAATCCATGGGAACACTTTCGGTCAAACCTTTGTGAGAAATGCGTGGTATTTCTTGAGTAAATACCTACAAATTTTCCACGACCACTAATTTTTCATAGGTACTGACATGTTGACAGTTGACAACAAGACTTGGGGTGAATGTAATCAATCACATGAAAAATATCTATGTTGTTAAAATCGGACCGGCCCGGACAGTCGAACCGGTTAACTCGAGAACCGGACAAGTTATCAGGCCGAATTTATAATAAACCCGCTCAAGTAAAAAACTAGTCAAACTCGGTCAAATTCGCGTTTGAACCAGAAACTGGAGAAAACCGGCTGACCGCGGGTTTCACTATTTTCCCAAAAAACAGTCAATGGATCTTCTTTCCGATCTTCTTCCATATCTCACTCATTTTTCTAAGAAAATTCTTGCCCAATTTCTCAAAACGTACAATTCGTATGCTCCCATGATTATGTCATCCAAATCAGTTTCTCATCATTGACCCCTCTCAATAATAAATTTCATGCCTTAATCCTAGGTAGTTTTAACTTTAGTGGGACGAATATAAGAAAAAAAAAAGATGCAAATTCAGTAAAAGAATGAGAAGGAAGAATTAAAAAGCGATGTAGTGATTGCAATATTACAAAAAAAAAAAAGAACAGAAGAAAGATGAAGGTGGTGCTGCAAACTGAAGAGGAGATGCGAAATGGAGAGGAGAAGAGAAAAAGAAATGTGGGTGTTTGTGCGGCTGGGAAGGGTTGGTTAGGTTAGGGGTTTTCTTTAAATTTATAAAATTATCTCACGATACCCCTTCAGTTTAGATTGGTAGTAAAATAACCTGGAAATTTAATATAATGCTAATTCATAACCGAATTTCTTACTATTAATACATCCTTTTTACCCTATTAAAGCAGAATACAGGATATTGATGTGGCAACTTCTTATTAAAACTTTTTGGCTCCAAATGCACCATATTGCATTGACCATTCTGCCACGTGTCATCTCCTTTTTAAAAGAAAAAAAATTCTTATCCGGAGAAACAAAAGTTACTTTACAGAAATAGCTACACAATTTTAACTCATAACATTTATCATTTATCAATCAAATTAAAATAGCATTTAAATTTGTCCATAAACTTACCCCCTTTATTACTCAACATTCTTTTGTATGATTTCTGCATCGTTGTACTTTTCAATATTTTTTTTCCTTTGGCAGATGATTTTTTATTTTTAGTTTTATTTTTGACTAAAAAATAAAAAAAAAACCAAATGTGTAGCTATTTTATTTTTTTTAAATCAAAAATTTATTTATCTATTAACACAAATTTAAAGTAGAGGGACGCCCAGGCATCTGCCTGGCCAAGCATCTAGTTATTATTATTATAAATACTTTAAATTATTAATTACATAATAATGACATCATCCGGGTTTTAAGAACGGTTGAACCAGTCCAACCCAGTAAATCGGTGACCCAGTAAGGCAAACGGTTCGCTCTCTGGTCCGGTTTTCAAAACATAGAAAAATATTTGGGGTTACCGTCGGTAGTGAAGAGGCGCAAGAAAGAGATTTTCAGCGACATCAAAGATAGAGTCCATGCAAAAAGATTGAAGGATATGCTGAAAAAACTCTATCTCAGGCAGGAAAAGAAGTATTGGTTTAAGAAAGTACCTTATCGTACACCCGCCATGGTTGGCCGGAAGAAGAAAGGAAAAGGCTTGATTCAACCAGTAAAAATAGATGAGCAGACGTCGATTAGTCGGAATCTAGGAAGATCTGTGAGAAAAGAGTCGAGTAAAAGGCAGGAGGTAGAACTCGATTTATTGGTGCAGAAAATCGAGGGTTCGCCTTCGAAGAAGAGTGGAGAAGGGAATCAATCCACGCCGAACTTGACTGCAACAGGACACCCCACTGTTCGATTGGAAAAGATGAGTGATGCTTGTGCTAGTGAATGCCTGAAGGACGGCACGAATACTAGGGTTTCTGAGGTTCACGCGAAAAGGCAATTAACCTGGTCGGAAAAATCAGAGATGAAGGATGGACATAATGTTTGGGATAAATTTTATCTGGAAAAACTGAAAGAACCTGAGGGCCAACTGAAATTTACAAATCCAGTGCAGCGGAATGGGCAGAAGATTAGAAAAATTCATATGGACGATGTGAAAACGGAAGTGGATTACTGGGATTCAGCTGTGGTTTGCTTCGCGCTAGGTGCAAATCCTCCAAAATGGGTAATGGAAGAGTACATCAGGAAATCTTGGGGGAGGCATGGTGTTGATCAGGTAATTCCATTGCCAACTGGCTTGTTCCTTGTGTGTTTTAAATTTGTTAATGCTAGGGACGAAGTACTCAGTGTGATAATTAGACATTTTGGGTCTAAGCCTTTAATTGTCAAGCCCCGAAATGTTGATAAGGGAATTGATTATCGAGATGTAGACAAAGTACTGTTTGGGTTCAGTTGCCTGGTCTAGATCTTAAGTATTGGAATCTAAACTCTTTAGGTAACATGGCTAGTACAATTGGTTCTCCTATCAAGGCAGATCCCTATACTGTTAATAAAACACGGTAACTTGTCTAGTCCAATTGGAATCTAAACTCTTTAGGTAACTTGGCTAGTACAATTGGTTCTCCTATTAAGGCAGATCCCTATACTGTTTATAAAACACGGGTTCAGTATGCTAGGTTGCTTATTGAAATGTATATCTATGATAATGTGCCCGAAAGAATTGTTTTCGAAGATGAAATTGGAAATGTTAGGGTGTAAAAGGTAGTGTATGAACGGTCGCCAACACAATATAAGTGTTGTAAGGGCTTTGGTCACATGACTGAAAAGTGCGGACTGAAAACAGTTCCTGTTGAGCCTAAAAAGCAACCATCAGTTAAAGAATGGAGGAGTGTAAGTAAGGGTAAAGAAGTTTTGGTGGAAACTGTGGTGAAAAAAAGAAAAGGGGGAGAATAAATAAGTATTGGTACTGCAAAGGTGATCACTGGTCAGGCTCATGATCTAAAGGCCTCTGTTGAAAAGGAAGGAAATTCAGTGGATTATAAAGATGGTAAAGAAAATGTGAAGGTGTTAAAGAGGAGAGCTGGTACTACCGTCCAAGGTACTGAGGATACAGGTTATAGGGATGCTTCCTTTGAGTACCCTAAGGAATCTGTAACACAACAGGATGGTAACACTAGTTCACAAGCTAGAATTGGGTTGAGCACAGTGCTCAATCCTAGTACCCTAGTTCTAATGTGTAGCCTCTTATCGTGGAATATAAGGGGTTTGAACTCTCCCCCGAAACAAAAAGAGTTAAAAAGGATGGTGGAAATAAAAAAAAAAATACAGTATAGTCAATGTGGTGGAAACAAAAATGGTAAGAAGTAGATGTGAGGAATACATGAAGTTTAGTTGGGGTGGATGGAAATGGATAACAAATCATCACAGACAGGAAAGGGGTAGAATTTTACTCTTGGGGATGACAGTATTGAAATTTAGTTAGTGGAAGACTCAAATCAGTTTCTACAGTGTGTCTGTACACTGAAAAAAGATGGCAGACAGTTTTTTCTCACAAGTGTCTATGCATCCAATAACTCGGAGGATAGATCCTTGCTCTGGAATGACTTGATGCGAATTGCATGGAAAATAGATGGTCCTTGGATTATAATGGGTGACTTTAACATCATCCTTAAGCCTGAAGAGATGTTGGGTGGCAAAACTGTGGAGTTAAAAAAGACTATGAAGAATTCCAGTATTCCTAGAACCATGTGGAGTGCAAGACCTGAGGTAAAAAGGCAAGTTGTTTACCTAGTGCAACCAAAGGATTGGATTAGAAAGAGTATACTCTAAGATTGATCGGGTTCTAGTAAATGGAGATTGGGTGGAGTAGTACAATGAATCTTTAGTATTAGTCTTACCTGAAAATATTTCGGATCACTGTCCACTAGAAGTGTAGTTACAAGAAGATTACTTATCGAAACCTAAACCGTTCCACTATTTCAATATGTGGATTCAATCTCCTCTGTTTCAAGGAATTGTGAGAGAAGTTTAGAATCATCTTGTAAAGGGAACGAGAATGTTTCAGAGTTGCTCAAAGTTGAGGAGCTTAAAACCAAAACTGAGAGAGCTGAACAGAACTCACTTTGAAGATGTGGTTGAATCTGCTAATAGACTTCAGGGGGTTCTTATAAATTTGCAGGAGAAGGTGAATATCAATCCCAGTAATATTGAACTTCAGGAATAGGAGAGACAAGCTTTCAAGGAGTATGTTACTGCTTGTAAAGCGGCGAATAGTTTCTTGCAACAAAAGGCCAAGGAGCAATGGATGGCAGAGGGTGATGAGAACACAAGATTTTTTCACTCAGCTTTGAAAGTGAAGGCTATGAGAAACAAAATCTGGTCAATGGTGGAAAATGGTTGTGAAATCAAGGAATGGGGTGGGATTGCAGATCATTTTCTCAAGTTCTATCAGGACTTGTTAGGTCAGGCTTCTGAAAGGAAGACAAGGAATCCTGCTATCTTCTCTGCTGGGCCAACGCTCAACATAGACCAGTAATTAAGACTGATCAAAACAGTGACACCGGCTAAGATCAAGGCAGCATTGCGGGAGATGAATGTGTTGAAGAGTTCAGGACCGGATGGTTTTGCTACAGGACTTTACAAAGATGCTTGGGAGCTCGTGGGAAATGACGCTATTGTTGCTGTGGGAGTTTTTCAACTCAGGTCAGCTTCTCAAATAGGTTAACTCTACCACTCTAGCATTAATTCCTAAGATAAATTCCCCTTTGAATACTAGCCAATATAGACCGATAGCATGCTGTAATGTTCTATATAAATGTATATCAACAGTCTTATGTAATAGGTTAAAGGAGTTACTGCCTAGTCTTATTGATGAAAATCAAACGGCTTTTGTAAAAGACAGGCTCATAATGCATAATGTTTTAATCACCCAAGAACTTATAAGATTATATAGGAGAAAAGGTGTAAGTTGTAGGATCATGATGACGATATATATAAAAAAGGCTTATGATTCAGTAGAACGGGGATTTATCGAGGAAATGATGCTAAGGTTTGGTTTTCTAGAATCGTTTCGAGGATGGATCATGGCTTGTATAACCAAACCTGCTTTTACATTGTCTCTTAACGGTTCTAATGTGGGGTTTTTGTTGGGAAACGGGGTCTGAGGCAGGGAGATCCTGTCTCCCCCCTCTTATTCGTGCTTACAATGGAATATCTAACCCACAGTTTAAAGTGTGCAGCTGCTCATTATTTCAAGTTCCATCCTTTATGTGACCAGCTAAAGCTCACAAATATCTGTTTTGCAGATGACCTAATGGTCTTCTGCAAAGTAGATGTGAATACAGTTAAAAAGATAATGGCTATATTCAGTGAGTTTTTGGGCGTTACAGGTTTAGTGGCAAATGCTCAGAAGTCTGCCATCTACTTTGGGGGTGTCGGTGAGCGAAAATAGGTGGAATTCTGTAACATCACTGGCTTTGTAACAGGTACCTTCCCAATGACCTATCTTGGTGTTACATTGTCTCTGAAAAAATGGTCCCAAGTAGAGTGTCAGGGTATTGTTAATCGAATAGTTGCTAGAGTAAAATGCTGGAGTACTAGGCATTTATCGTTTGCTGGTAGATTACTTCTAGTAAACTCTGTTCTTATGTCTATGCATTCCTATTGGGGTGCTATTTTTATCCTGCCACAAAGTGTCACGGATATGGTTAATTGGGTTTGTCGTGATTTCTTGTGGGGTGGTAATTCTGAGGGAAGGTCTATGTCATTGGTTAGTTTGGAGGAAGTGTGTAAGAAGAAGTCCATGGGAGGACTGGGAATTAGAGATGCACGAATTTGGAATATAGCAGCTGTTGCTAAGTAGGTTTGGCAGTGGTATTGAATAAAGAAGCTTTATGGGTTAGATGGTCACATGGTGTCTACATTAAGAATTCCAGCCTGTGGGAAGTACAGCCAAAAAGTGACTCCAATTGGCAATGGAAACAACTCCTGAATGTTAGAGATCAAGTGAAGGATGGTTTTGATGGCCTGCGATGGAAAAAGAGGAGTAATGGTCTTTATTCTGTAGCATCGGGTTACCAGTGGCTCGTGGGAGGTGGAGAGCAGTTAAAGATTACTCAAGAAATTTGGGCAAGAAATAACAGGCCCAAGCATGCTTTCCTGTCTTGGTTGGTCTGGAAACGGAGGATCCGTACCAAAGATAGGCTAGCGAATATGCAGTTTCATATCTCAGGTAGCTGTCGTTTGTTGTGTATGGAGATAGATGAAACGATAGACCATCTTTTCTTCCAGTCCAGGTATGCTAGAGAGCTGTTAGATACCCTTACATCTGGCTGAAATGTAGGAAGATTAGTCCAAAGAGGCAGAAGTGGTTAAAACAATGGGAAAACATGTGAAAAGGCCAGGTGCTGAGACGAAAGATTTTCCTGGCAGTTTTTGTAGATGGAATTTACTTCCTTTGGGAAGAGCGAAATAAAAGACAGTTTGAGAATAGTGAAAGGGACCCTGATGAGCTACTTTGGAAAATACAGCAGGAGGTCTTGATTCGATTCAAAGGCTGGAAGCAGGGGAAGTGAACTCCTTCAGAAACTAAGATCTTGCAGTAGTATTTTGCTAGTTTCTGAGTGGTAGGAATATGTCATGTGGCCTGTTTGATGGATCTGTTTGAGACTTAGAGTAGTCTCTGAAATTTTGTAGGATGTAGTTTTGAGTTTTTGAAAACTGATACAACATGTAAATGAACTTATATGTTTGGTGTTAATGTATATTTTTACCTTTCCACAAAAAAAAAAAAAAAAAATACTAGGTGCATAATAAAAAGTTTTAAAAATAGAAAAGGAATGACACATGCGTTTTGAGAGATACAGGTAAACTCAAACCATTTTATGTTATAAACATCATTGTTAAGGCCGTTTACCTGTGGGTATTCCTTTGTAGACTATATAGTCACTCTCAGACCTTTGTCTTAATCTTACGGTTATTCGTCATCCTCTTTTTTTTTTTTTTTTATCGAATACAAAAAAAAAAATCCAATAAAAAAGAAAGAACAAACAAAAATGAAATCTTTCCATCCTCCATTATTTTCTTGAATTCTTGTGCCTCTATTATATATTATGCATACTTTCTTCGTCTCATAATTATTGTCTAGTTTGGAATTTTATTTCTAATTCAAATTGTACGAAAAGTGAAATCTCAAATTAAATAATAATTTTAGGACAGAAGAATACATTTTAACCACACCTTAGTCAACAAGCATTACAGTTCACCAGATTTTTTAGAATTTTTTTTTTTCCCTATTTCAGTGCTTTGGATAATGATTTGGATTGAGGAGTTGTCTTTTAGCGGGATGTGGATACGGCTCCATACTATTTGTTCTTGTCCAAAGAAAATTTCCAGATTCCCCATAAGCGTTAATCATTATAACGAAACCGGCCAAAGAAAAACAAATGTCGCCATTTTCCTGCCGACGCTATGGCAGGGTTGAACGATCAAACAGAATGGGGAATTAGAAGGCTAATACACCCTCCAGCGGAAGTCATTGATTGGCTACGCCACAATATAATAGGAGTATCATACCTAAAAATGCACTTGTATATTTGGGCGTTTGTCTCCTCTAATGTACCCCAAAAAAAAAAAAAAACAAATGTCGCCATTTATACTGGTTTCTTGTGTCATTGATAATGACGCAATTCAGGTTTTCTTTTTTAAAAAAAAAGAAACAGAGACCCAAAATTATCATTTGCAATTTCTTTATTCTCCCTAACCTTTTTTTTGGGAAGACTCTCATAGATAGATTCAGTGAGTCAAAATTAAAGGAGAATACCCCTTAGTCTCACATAGCAAAACAAGGAAAATGTTCATTATGCAACATCACAATTAATGCGACTCCGACCATTTTTTTTTGGGGGGGAGAAACCAAATAAAATTTGTCCGTGTCAAATGTCTATATCATGTGGCATGTAATGGTTACGTACACGATAAAGAATTTGATAAAAGAAGCTAGCCGCAATCAAGTTAAGAAGTGATATTAACCATTAGTACAATATTTCGCCGAAACACGTTGTTGAATTGAGAGAACTGGCAGAATTGTGAATTTGTGGTGGACTTAATTTGTCGATTAACTGAACCAAAAAATCTTGGAAAAGAAAAATGAAACAAACAAAGCAACTGTATTCTTACATCATTTACCCCACTAGACTTGTCATCTATTCCCAACAGCTGAATTTGCATTATGATTTTAGATATATATACTCCATCTCTTTTAAAAAATTTTATATTGATTTTTTAAATTTATACTCCCTCTATTTTGAGTTTTGAGTTTTGCATTGTTTTTAATACAAATTTGAAAACTCAACGTGAACTATTTTTTTGGGACGTAGGTAATATTTTTTGATCACATTGTATTTTAAATTTGTACTACCTCCACTTCATATTATCTGTCTCATTTAGACAAACACATATAAAGGAAAACATGTTTGGGGATATAATTTTATATGTATTGACTTTTTATCTTTTTTTTTTAACAAATTTTTTTTTATCTCTAATTAATTATATTGGGAATACGCAGCAAAATTAAATTACAAGTAGTTGTTATTCATATGACCAATTAAAAAAGGAGAGAGGTAAGGGTGAAATTGAAAAAAGATAAATTAAATATATCTTAGGAATGAAAAACGGCAGATAAAAAAAGGTTTGGTTTTACCCTAATGCAACTCAGTAAAAAGTAGTGGAGGTAGTATTAATTCTACGTGGATTATTTTTTGGGTAATAGGAATTTATATATATCTATCAACAAGTTGGCTAAGCATCCAAGGAACAGAAGCGTGAATCACTGCTTGCTGAAAATTACAGATCAAAATCAAAATGGCAGTGGTGTGGTTTCTTTTCCTCTTCTTACTCCTAATTCTTCCATTTCTTTCCTTTTCTCATCTACAGAAAACCATCAAAACAAGAAAGATTCATAGCCCTCCAGGCCCTCCGGGACTACCTTTCATCGGAAATTTGAATCAATTTGATAGTTTAAAACCTCATCTTTTCTTGAGAAACCTTTCCAAAAAGTATGGCCCTCTCATGTCACTCAGGCTTGGCGCACGGAAAGTGCTCGTAATTTCATCAGAAAAAACAGCGAAAGAAGCCCTGAAATCAAAGGATCTTGTGTTTTCCAACCGGCCGCCGCTTGTTAGCCTCCGAAAATACTCTTACAATGGGAGGGATGTCGCTTTCTCCCCCTACGGCGAATATTGGAGGGAAATGAAAAAGGTTACGGTTCTTCATCTCTTGAGCCCGAAAAGGGTTCAATCCTTCCGGCCGATCCTTGAAGACGAAGTTTCCATTTTGATGGATGATATTTCGAATCTATCGCAGTCTTCTCAAGCAATCAACTTAAGTTCGATGCTTTTGAGTTTCATGAGCTCCTTTGTATGTCGAATCGCATTTGGGAAGAAGTTTGTTAAAGAAGATCACGTTCAGAAGAGAAGATTTGAACAGATTTTGCATGAATGCCAAGCCTTGCTCGCCGGGTTTTTTGTCTCTGATTATCTTCCTTTCTTGAGCTGGATGGATAAGCTTTCGGGGATGTTTGAGCGTCTTGAGAAGAATGCCAAAGAATTGGATTTGTTTTATCAAGAACTCATAGATGAGCACTTGAATCCAAACAGGCCAGATGCAATGAAAGATGATATTCTTGATCTTTTGATTCATTTCAAAGAAGAACAATCATCATCTATTGATTTTTCGTGGGATCACATCAAGGCTATGCTCATGGTAAGTTCCCGGAATTTTCATAAAATAAATAAATACTCACTCTGCCCTAAAATTATTATCCAGTTTGAATTTTCACTTTTAAGTCAATTTGTACTAAAAATGAAAACCTAAATTGAACAATAGTTTCGGACTGAGGGAATATAATTAACTTTAGTGTCATTTTCTGATGTGTTCAAAACAGCTAGCAAGGACCATTGAGAAGTTATCTTGTTTTTGTCTTTTTTTTTTTTTTTAATTTTTGTCATATATGTGAAAATCTATTTAATCTATTTTTGAAAATGCTAAAAAATGGTATCAGTTAGGAAAATTCAGTTGAATACTGATTGGCAGGTTATAAGTGTTTATGCTATCAAAGTGTAAAGACTATCTTTACAGTTTTGCTATTTATCTGTTTCAGAATATATTTGTGGCTGGGACCGATACAAGTTCCGCTTTAGTTACATGGGCTATGACTCTCCTGATGCAGAATCCTTCTGTTCTGAGGAGGGCTCAAACTGAAATTAGAAATTTAGTTGAAAAGAAAGGAATAATGACAGAAGAGGTACTTGAAGATCTTCCTTATTTGGACGCAATATTAAAAGAAGCATTCAGATTGTATCCTCCATCACCCCTCCTTGTGCCAAGAGAAACTACACAAAACTGTACCGTAGAAGGATATGATATTGAAGCTAACACTATGGTTTTCATAAATGCTTGGGCTATTGCTAGAGATCCTGAAACTTGGAAAAATCCAGAAACATTTGCTCCTGAGAGGTTTTTGAACAGTAGTGTTGATGTCAGGGGAAATGATTTTCAATTAATTCCGTTTGGAGCCGGAAGAAGAGGTTGCCCTGGAATTCCCTTGGCATTATCTACTGTGAAAGTTTTACTGGCTAATCTTCTTTACACCTTTGATTGGGAGCTGCCATTTGGAATGAAAATAGAAGACATTGATACCGATATGCTGCCAGGGATAACGATGCATAAGAAAAGTCCTCTTTGCCTTGTGGCAAAAAAATATGCTTATTAATTTAGCATTTTCATTTCTTGGTGTAAATTATTATTGCATAGTAATGTAATACTTTGATGAGAAACAAAATGTATATATTGTCAACATGCTTTGAGAACGCTAGTTACAAGATTGTTGTATTATTGATTTTTTGCGAATAGAGTGAATTTCGTGTTTCAACATTCAAGTGATGGGCCAACAACAGTTTATCATATTTATGGCCTTCTTGGCTGCTTTTTGTGTCGGATAGTTCAGGATGTGGATGATTTTCATTAATACATGAGACAACTTTTATTATGGCAATTTATCCGGTATATTGAGAGCACTTACTCTCTTTCCTATTTTTTGTATTTATAGATCTTCCTGTACTTATTTTTTGAACTCTTTCTTTAATTTACAAGTTTAGTCCCTGTCACTTTTTTCTTTCTTTCATAAAAAACATCTCTAATCTTCAAACGAACATAACTCTCAATCCGTAAAACATTTATGAACAAATTATATGTAAAATTTATAGTACTCGTCGAGATCTATCCAACAAGATCCATATCAAATATTTTTTTCGAGCTTAAAAATGATCAAATTTAGATAGGAGAATAAGGTAGATATCTAAATTAAAAATATAGATAATTTTTATATTAAGATTCTTGTATTGCATATATCTTTTGATCCGTAAAGAATTAGAACCTGAATTATATATGAAATTTATAGCGCTCGACGAGATCTATCCGATACAATCAATTTTGAATATTTTTTTTGAACTTTAAATACATTTAAATACTCCGGCCAGAAATGAAAAAAGTATTTGTGTTGGATAACCAGTACAAAGACATCGGAGAACCATTTTTTCAAAAAAAAAGGGAAAAAATGATTGGATAATCATTACAAATCACTTGGATAACCAGTGAAAATAATTGGATAAGCAGTACAGACGAGTTGGATAATCAGTATAAAAAATTGGACAATCAATTCCATAAAAATAGCAAGAAAAAAAAAAGTTGGATAACCATCACCAATAAGTCTGATGGATAATCAGTATGAACATATCGGACATATATGTTCTATATAGACAAAAAATGAAGAGAAATTATGTTTGGATAATCAGTGAAAAAGATTGGATAACCAATACAAAACGGTTGGATAGTCAGCACAAAAATAGGACAAGAATTTTTGCAAAGAGTAGAGAAAAAAATGATCGAATAATTTATACCAAGCAGTTGGATAATCAATACGAACGCGTTGGACAACCATTCTTTTCTAGAAAAAAATAATAATGAAAAGAAAAATTAGGTTGGATAAACAGTGCTAATTAATTAGATAATCAGTATTAACACATTGGGCAATGATTTTTTTTTAAAAAAAAAGGATTGGATAACCAGTACAAATGAAATGGATAATCCGTTCAAACCGGTCAGATTATCAATACGAACAAAATGGATAACCATTTTAAGAAAAAACTAGGTTGGATAAACAATACCAATTAGTTGGATAACAAGTACAAACATATCAGTCAAGTATATTCATAAAAATCAAAAAAGAAAATGGCTGGAGAAATAATAGCATCGGGTTAGATTATCAGTACGAACACATTAATTGGATAAGCATTTTCTTTAAAAAAAATGATTGGACAAACAATACAAACTTATTTGGACAAGCGGTAAAAAATAATTGCATAACCAATAGAAAGCGATTGGATAATTACTACGAACACATTGGATAACCGTGTTTCAAAGAAAAAAATAATTGGATAAGTAGTATAAACAAAATGGATAACCAGTATTAGCATATCAGATAATGATTTTTTCCAAATAAACAAAAAATGATTGGATAAGCAGTACAAATAATTTGGATAAGCATATAAATTCGTTACATAACCAGTACAAATAAGTTGGATAGGCATACAAACCAAATGAATGGATATGCAGCACAAACAAGTTGGATATCTATTACAAAAAGTTGGATATGGATATAAATCCGTTGGATTACAACTACAAAATAAGTTGGATATGCATAAAAAGAAAATGGATGGATATTCAGTACAAACAAGTTGGATATCTAGTACAAACCAAATAGATATCCAGTACAAACTAGTATGATATCCATTACAAACAAGTTAGATAGTCATACAAACCAAATAGATAAGCAGTACAAATAAAATGGATAACCAGTTTTAACTGATTGGATAATCAGCATGAACAAAATGAATAATCAATTTAAAATGCGTTGGTTATCCATCTTGTTAAACTGGATATCCACCTTATTCCTGTCCATCGAAATTTGATCATTTTTAAGCTCGAAAAAAATATTTCATATGGATCTTGTTGGATAGATATCGACGAATACAATAAAATGCATGTGTAACAATTTTTTTAAGTCTTCACATATTGAGAGATATGCTCGCTTAACGATTAAAGATGTTTTTTGTAGGAAAGAGAAAAAAGTTACAGGGACTAAACTTGTCAATTATAAGAAAATTGAGAAAAAATTACAATAAGGACTTCTAATGCAAAAAATAGAGGAGATATACATGCTCTCGGGTATAAATAGACTTTTTATTTAAATTCCAAGTTCTTGCAACTTTTTTTTTTGTTCGTTTTGGCATTAATTACGGGGAATTTAAGAAAGTCAATTTCTAATTACAATCTCATTCTTAAAAAATCAAAACAAATAATACTTTCTCCGTTTCAAATAAGCGTGGCGTGTTCTTAGACCAAAAAAAATAATAATAAGAAGAAAAAATAAAAAATAGTTATCAACAACTCAATTTAGATAATATTTTATAACAATTTTCCTCGACCCAAGCTCAGTGTTACTATTATGTTTTCCTCAACAGTAGCCATCAGAATTACTGAAAAGAAGAATAAGAAAACCACATTAATTTGTTTCCCATCACTAAGGAAATTCGTCAGCTGCAAAGTTCTATAATTTTTTTCTGAAATAAAAAGTGTGAAATCATTATACCACTCAAACTAAGTTCATGTTGATATTAAAATATGCAAAAGTTTCAAGTCGGCTTCTGTAGATTATTGAATCAAAAAAATATAGATATAATTTGATATTTCCTATTAAGAGTTGTATTAGGTTTATTATTTTATTTTGGGATGGGCTTGGTTAAATAAATCTCTATAAATAGGGAGTTTAGGGTTTTAGTTGTTTTTTTTTTTTTGTAGAGTAATTTTTGCCGAATAAAAACGGCACTTTTAGTTTTTTTTTTTTTTTGAAATGGTACCTGTATTTATTAATTAAGGATTACCTAAATTATTACATCGCATTTTTGCATAGGCGAAATTATATAGATCCATAACAACCGCTCAGCTGACTTTTAACAGTGAACAATTCTGAAAAGTAGACATTAAGGTACGTATATTAGCTATTAGCTCCTGAGTTTCATTTGGAAACTGAGAAATTTCCCGATCGATGGTCAAGAGTTCACAGTCTGTGTAGATGTTGAGGCCTTCAATCCCCAAAGATGAGGCATCTTGTAACACCTGTAAGCAGGTGGTGGCTTCAGCTTGGAAATGAGACAATGAGTTGATGGAAACCGACTTGATCTGCAGTAGCATTCCGGTGGATGAGATAATTCTCCAGGCTCCTGCTGCCCTTCTATTGTTAGGGTTGAAGGATGTATCAAAAGTAATTTCTGACATTGGTTCAATATTTCCCCTAGCAGGAAGGAGAGGTGGATTCGGATCCGTATGTGACCTTGTTCTGGACAGCAATACCTTGTGTTGTTTAAGGTCCTGTTGTGTTAATCTCCAGGAGGTGACAGGATCGATTGTATGATTTCTCTACACCTTATCATTTGTCTAACCAAATACGCCAGAAGATTAAGAGGAATAGGTCAATATCATCTGAAGATGGTTGAGTTTGAATCCATGTGATAAACCAATCAAGTATGGAGTGCATTGAGCATTTACAATTGATTGGAAATTAGGATATGCAAAGCTCCAGACTGCTTGAGAAATTGAACAGTTGAAGAAGAGATGAAGATTGTCCTCCAATCCTGTGAAGCACCTTGGGCATGTAGTATCGACCTGGAATCCTCTTCTCATAAGTACTTGTTTAGATGATAAGGCATTGAGTGCTGCTCTCCAAAAAAGGAATTTATGTTTGGCTTGCACTTTGGCATTCCACAGCTTCTTCCAAGCCAAGCTTTCTGTTTGTGAAGGAACCTGTTGATTTGTTTGAGAAGGAAAGCTGAGAGGATCACGATTTAAATCCTTATGATACCCTGATTGGACCGTATAGGAACCATGATCTGGCTTTTGCCACAAGAGTACATCCGGTTGCATGTGTCTGGCCGGATCCACATATATACCAGTTATATAGGGAATATATTGGTCTGGAAAAAAGGAACGGAGGAGAGACATTTTCCATTGTCCATTCAGCCTTAGAAGATCACTGACCATGAGATTGAAATGTTGAACCAGAAAGGAATGGCTCTGGATAGGATTGGTGATTCCTGGAATCTAGTTACTGGCAATTGGTATATTTTTACAGCTGATAACCTTCCACTTTATATTATTTTGAAGAAGTTTAGCTCCCCAAAGGACACTCTTGTATCCCCATGTGGCATTAATGGGTGGAGTCTTGTGAGGAAAATTCTCTATGGCACAGTATTTTGCTCTGTATATTCTGGATAAAAGGGAGGTTGGTTGTGCCAATATTTTCTAAGCATGTTTAGCAAGAAGGGCTTGATTAAATTCTGCAATGGCTTTGAGCCCTAAACCCCCATGGAACTGTGATCTGGCCATTTTCTTCCAAGATTTCTAATGAATACCTTTCACCTGGTCATCTCCTTTCCATATAAAACGAGCAATGATTCGATCTGCTGTCTTTAATGTGGAGGCTGGTAGTTTAACTACTCCCATCGGATATACCAACATAGCTGATAGAGTAGCCTTTGCCAATGTAACTCTCCCAGCAAAGCTAAGAAGCTTTGTCTTCCAATCCGCAAACTTTCTATTGAGTCTAGTTGTATACTCTTTAAAGATTTCTTCTTTTTTTTTTTCTGTTTGAAATCTAAAGATAAACCAAGATATTTGCTCTGGAAATTACCTTCTAGAATTTTCAAAGTGTTGTGCACCAAGGTTTTCATGCTAGTAGATGTATTCTGACTCAATAGAATGGAGGATTTGTGATGATTGATCCGTTGACCGAAGTATGAAGCATAATCCTCAATTAATCCAGACAGAGCCTGTATAGAAGTATCCCTGCATTCTAAAAAGAATATGCTATCATCAACATACATTAGATCACTAATCCTTGGGGCCTACTTACTGATCTTGATACCTAGCCCGGGAA